CCGAAGGCATTCATCAACAATTGGGATAAAAACAGGCACGAGGCATGTGAACACACGGGTGCGAGACCGTGTAAATGTCGTTTTTGTCCAATGAAATTCATCATCAAGTGGGAATGGAAAAAGCACGAATAGGGCTCGCACAGGTAGTGAGGGCTTATCGCACCAGGGTTCACGCAGTGAGCGACAGATGAGGGGGACTGTATGGAATTTGTTGGAATGACGCATTTCCAAGCATCGAAAACATCCGTTTTGAGACGGTGACATCAAGTCACCACCGCTTTTGCAGTGGTTCCCAACAAAATCATAAACTTCCATACTTGGTAGGGTGGAAAGCCAATATAGTGGGTTAGCTGCATGATAACATTAGTAAAGACAGCATAATAAAAAAGCAGCATGTAAAAAAAGTGGAGATTAAAGACGAGCAATGACCGACTACTGATACTCTAAAGCTTGAGATTTATAATTGCACTTAACACACCACATACCCTCAAAACAATCATTACAAAGGAAACATAAATAATATAATTAACAAGAAAAATAGCGTAGACTGATAACTCTATTACAAGAAATTAAAATACCTGTGCTCTGTTAACTAGAGCAATGAAAGTCTGAGTAATACATGCCTCAGACAAACTACTGGTGCACCCTCCTGTGGAAATTTCCCATTGCACCCAGCCACTTTGTACAGAATGGCACTTTCGGCAAACAAGGGGACGCCTGTGAGTGAAAAAGTATTTACTCACTATAATTACTTTAGCGTGGACGATTGCACCACTAAAGTATACGGTGGCACTTGGGTTTTGAGACATATTGAATAATTACGAATGACATCAGCTGTGTTCTTACGAGAACTTCTGTTGACAGTCTTTTTTGGGGGGGGTAGGATGATCGCACCACTTGCTCCCAAACGTTTGGTATTTGCCATACACGCTCTTCCTATTGCAGTGATGCAGAGTCTTAATTTGTTGTCATCTTCACTCACCGCTATCAAATTATGTCTTCACATTTGACCCATAACACTGTGTGCTGATCTAGTGAGAAGGTGCTTGAAGCATGGTGTGGTGAGATCTTTCAACAATGGCACAGTGTTTAGTTTGCTCCGCATAAGATGACTCTGCCGCAAAGGTCTTACATTACCAAGAGAAAAGAGAGCTGTTTAATCACTACAACACTGCAAGATGAAATATGTGTATTGATTTTTGTATTTCTTGGCTACTCAATGCATACTTCTATTCCACTGCATGGGTATTAAGTCTTTCATCGCTAATAAAAGAATAGCTAAACTTTTTGTTGTACAGTTGTCTTTGTCTCTAGTCAATTTGTGCATCAATGGTTCCCAAGAGGCTGGAATCAATTGATGGCTTTTCTGAGGAGTTAGTGCATTTTATTATTTTTTTTTACATTTTTAGGACTGTGATAGCATTGTATGCAAACGGTGAGAAATTTTAGCAGGGATGTCCTTGGTAAGGACAGATAGCTCTTGCCAAGGACAACATATGCAATAAACTTATGTGGGAGGTCAACATAAAGACGAAACATTTTGCTACGATAATGTGTGTGTTTAGATGTTGCACTTTGTGAATTCGGTTAAATAATGTTGATTCAAAATTTACAGATGCGCGATAAATAAATAATCCCCCGTGAATATCTGAAGTCGTAGGGATGAAGGCTGTACAAATCCATGTATTGCCCACAATTCCCGTGGTAAAATCAAAACAATCATAGCACTTAGTTTACAGTAACTGAAAAGTTGGCAATGCCACCTTTTTTTATAATCTTGTCCTTTCAAGTTTTTTATCATGATGTACCATTTCGTTCGCTTTTCTAATGCAGCTCATCTTAAGAGTGCCTTGAAGGGCCCCTAAACTACCTCCAATAATTTTTTCAACATTTCAGTTAAATGCGTGCATCCATTCAGGATGCCATCACGGTCAACAGTACCAAGTGCGGCAGCTACTGTGGAGCTCATAGGCTGCAGGCGCTCCGCAAATTACAAGAAAAAATCCATTCTTTCTTCTCTTTGCACCTTTCAGCATTCCTGAGCATTTGCTGTTAGGTCAACAATTCCCATGTGCTCCTGTCATCCACAAAAAAAAAGGGGGGCCATCTGCATGCAAGTACGTGTTCTTGCACTCGGCTAGGAGGAGAGAAACGAACCGACGAAGAGAGCATGCTGAAAGAAAAGGTGAAATGAGCGAGGGCCTCTTTTTCTTGATTATCAGACATGCGTAACTCTGTTATTACGCCACCATTTCAAAAAAATTCTTATGGCTACATGCTCGTTGTAAACCAGTGCACAACTGCAACACCAACCACAACCGAGTTTTAACTTCTGGATAGTTTAGGCGCCGTCTAAAACCTCTTTCTGTGTACCAGTGGAGCTTGATGAAATGGGTTGGAGTGCAATACAGGGTGGAAAAAAAAGAAGCAAATGCGAGTTGTATTATAATAATCGTCTAAAATTTACGTTGCCTGACCTGTACCACTAAATGGGGCCAAGATGGTCCAGCCCACTGTAGCCCTCTTCCCACAAGCTCTGCCTCTTCTGTATGTGGTTTCCCTGTTGGCCACCGAAACAACCAGCAGCACTTATTCGCTCTGTGAACTGAATGCTATTTTCTCACACGGCACATTTCAACTTTGTAAAAATTGTATCGAACGCTTCTTAACCTTTACACCCCTCTGCAGCCATCTGAAAGAACAAGCATCTTGAACAACACTGTATCATGAGCAATAAGAGCTGGAAAACCAAGTTTTCGTTTATTGAATGATTACTTGTAATGTACAGATATGAATGAGACATGTTGAATTGCTGGAGACACCGATTTTCTCTATGGTTGTTGAAAGGTAATTTCAGTGTTGCATCTTGTATTGGTCTTGATCACATGTGCACCGCTTGTTACAGCATCCTAGAGAACTGGCTAATCAGGATAGTCTTTTTTTTTTTTTCATCAAATAGAGTGCACACATAATAAAATTCAAGATGAAGATAGACAATTCATATTTTATTAGGTTCCTCAAATGTGACAATTTCACATTACAAAGAAACGTTTTTTTATTATTTTTTGTCACAAATATTGAGTGGCCGAGTTTACTTTCCTGTAGTGAATGAGCACAGACCAAATGTCATCCTCCTTGAATTGTAGTGCAAGCTATTACAGTAGGTGTTGTTCTACAAAAAAGACGTGTTATTGATTGATTTGATTGGTATGTGGGGTTTAACGTCCCAAAACCACCATATGATTATGAGAGACGCCGTAGTGGAGGGCTCCGGAAATCTTGACCACCTGGGGTTCTTTAACATTTGCCCAAGATGTGTTATTACAAGCTGTGCTTCCTCAGATACAGTCAGTCTCAAATCATGTTTACTGTCTACTTTGAAGGTTGTCATTGTTAACTACAGCCCCTTGAAGAAGCACAACACTATGCAGACAGGAAGGACTGCACATATGCATGTCAAGCACGGCACAAGAAGAATCTTATTGGCTGGATTCTTTCCGATACAGGCACGTCAACTCGACCCCTGGAATACAAACAGTACTTGCTGACACTCCCAGAGATTATATCCACAGAAGTACTCAAATAAGTGCAACACTTTTCATCGTAGCCCAGATGGTAGAGCATTGGACGCGTAATTCGAAGGTTGTGGTTCTGGGTATGGCAGGTGAAATGGGTGAATTTCTGTCCACTTTAATCAATTTCTATCAATGACAAAATTGGTACCCACACCAATAAACATCTATACTTTGCCAGGCCAAACTGTCCGATTCATTTGGTTGTGTTTAACATAAAAATGAGCCCCTCAAACATTTTTTCTTCGCTTATTCATGCATGCGAACTGTTCCACCAGAGGACACCAATTTCCTGCATAATCTCGACCATCGGCGCTAATTGCCCTTGTGAACTACGACTAGTCCACACAACGTGTCGCTGTCGCGGAGGGCACACGAAATTCCAAGCACACACTCTCACGTTGATTACATTTCTTCGGGAGCTGTGCACCGTTTCACGTCGCTGTGTGACCGCGGGCAGCGCTTGCAATTGTACGGTGGTTCGTCCGTGTAGGACACCACGTGACACCATTTTGCGCACACTTTAGCTCATTCAGCGTGAAGCGCTTCACCAACCCCTTACAAATGTCGGCACTGTCAATACCCCTATGCACGCGTCCAAAAAAAAGACCGGCAGCCTCACTTGCGAGGAGAGGGGCAAGGTTCCTTTTGGCGTTGCATAAGTGGTTGCCAGACTGGCAGGATCAATGTTGCCAGATTGCCGCTAAATTTGACTGCAAATTTTTTTTCTGTAGTTGTGGCTTTTTTGTGAGAATTTGGTGCCATCCGCGGTGCATTTCGCGAACGAGCGACGCTGGCCGTTTTAATTAACAGCAGTCTGGCAACAACCACCCCAAAGTTTGGCAACTGACTTAAGCAACGCCAAAAGCACGGAGGAAGGAAACGTGGCCAAAAGGAACCTTGCCACCGCGAGAATCCTGTCCGAAGGCGCGCCAAGTCATCGCAAACGGCGAAGCAAAATCCCAGTGCCCAGGAGGCGTTGTCCTCACACAGCCAACAAACGCAAACAAAGCGCGCTAGTCCTGTAAGGAGCGGGCCAGGGGTGTCCGATCACGTCGACCGATGGAGCTGTCACGGCTGACACAAGAAAACCGAAGCTAGCGACAGTTAGATCACCAACGAGCACGCGCGCTCAGACGCCATCATTAAGCCACGAGGTTTTGTTTTTCGTTTGAGTTTCGTTTTCGTATTTATGCGCTACGTCGGCAACTTGCAACAGTCTCAAATAGAAGCAATCCGCAGCTTATGTTGTTGTGTATGGTTACTAAGCTTGTTAACAAAGAAGTTTACTCAAAAGTGCTTTACGCTCATTTATTAAAGGCACGACCACTTTTAGCAGGCTCTCAGTGCCTAAAGAAGCTCTATGGACACTGACATAAGGTTTTTTTTTTTTTTTTTGCCTCTCGTAGCGTCTGTCCAAGTTCGAAGTCCTACGTTCTAGCAATCCTAGTTCTTATGTTTGAGTAGTATTTCGATGGAAAAGCGCTGCGCGTTTTTGTTGGAGTGTTTCGTATTGCTACCAAGCGTTAGTACAGTGAGCCAATTAGCGACTACCTGTGGCATTGGTCGTAAAGTTTGCTGGAGAGCTTACGCACGAGTGCGCCACGCTAGGCGAAGGCAGATGTAAAATGCGATGAAATGCGTGCGCGCTGAAGACAACGCTACGTCCATATTGCCCAATCAGGTCTGTCAGATGCATTGATCGATATGTGGGGTTTAACGTCCCACCTGTCTGTTGCAGGCGAGATGCGCCCGAAGGAATGAAACGTGCGTGTTCTTCACGGACCTGACCGTCGACCACAGCGTTGCCTCTAAAATGCACTTCCGATGAGTGCACGGCCTAAGGCCTTCTTTGTTACGGCGTCTTCGTGTGGCAAATGCCAACGGTGTCAAGAGACTCTTGAGGCTCGTAGCGTCAACGCAACTAGAGTCATGTTCATCTTTCAGGGAGGGCAAGTTAATGGACTTCGAGTTTCGTTTTACGCGTCTGAGTTCATCCTGCTTACATGTTCGCATGCACCGTGCGCCATTTCATTCTAGATTCATCGTCACCGGTTAAAACTGAGCATCTGCGGGTGCCCGCATTTATGTAAAGTTCACTTGTTGACGTAACACGTTTTCTCAAGAGGCAAAGTGGTTCTGTTGTCTTGGTGATATCACATGAACATTTGTTGCCTACGGGATTATTGTTGTCACATTTGTTGTCTACTCTAACTCGGTTGCAATTTGAGCCTCTTACTTGTTTGTAATCCATTTCATTGATGTAGTTTCATCATCAAGTTTTCAATCACCGAATCACACAGGTTTCAACCTATCTCCGGAAGATGGTTGATTGCTCAATGAAGTTTCTGTACGTCCTTCAGCAGGGGCGACGTCAGCGGGGTTGTAGAGGGGGAGGAGGGAGGGAGGGGGGCCATCAAATTCTCGCCTTTGCCCTCCCCCCACCCCCAAGAGCAAGCATAGTCAAAACACAATGCATATGTTCCTTGCCCCCTGAAAGAACTCGCTTGTAAAGGGCGCCCCCCCCCCCCCCCTCCATCAATAAAAGAATCCTGGCGCCGCCCTGTCCTTCAGTGACTCACACAAACGTAACACCATAAGGTTCTGGTAGATCACGCATGGCCATGTGCAAGCAAAGTTATTTCAAATTGTACAGCTTTCATTAGAGCAAATATGTATGATGTTGAAGCTGATCTTTTGTGTGAATTTCCACAGTGTGATCAGGTGCTCTTTGTGAAGATGGCGTTGACACCCTTTAAAAAAAAAAAGTCGTATTTAGGGTGCCTAAACAAGCTGTCGATCAAGCAATGATTGGCTTTGTTTCCAATGTCTAAAATATGCTGTGTTCGTTGTGCAAAAAAAAAAAGTCATGACTCAACAAAAAATGATAATCAACTGTTAGACAGTCTGAGTGATAGCAAATCTCCTTAGGAGATGCATCTCCTAAGGACACTTGTTTGTGGGCGTTTGTTTGCAATGTCAGCACACATTTCTCAATATGGCCAATGGGTCAAAATTCCCTAATGTAATAGCAAATTTTCAAATGGAGCATCTGGTAATGCGTATTTCAATATGCTGTTTCATTGCACAATCTCCCGCTTCACAATCAAAGAGGAAAGTGCAACTCCTGCAGCTTCTCATTTTGTGCTCTACATTTAGCATGCAAACAATCGTTGTGTAAATGCTGGCTTTTCTCGAATGATCGATGTATATCGGTGTTCCTGCATCAAGTGAACTAAGCATATTTAGCCATAGAAGCAGCCCCTGGAATTATTATTACTGTGTGGCAGGAGGGTGCTTCTTGAGAGCATGGCATACTCGTGCTGTTTTGTTTGCACCACCGCGTTCGATCAGTGTACTTAGATAATTTAATCTTATCTTGGCATCTCTCAATACGGGAAACCCTGCATGCCACGAAGGTTTTTTCCTTAGTATATGGCCTGGGGTTCTGTATGTTCCCCACTTGTATGTAAAAAGGTACAAAGTGGTTGCCTAATGCATGACATTAAGTGTAGTAGACTGACCCACTTGTATCCCTGATTCACCTCTCACCAAGTCCACTTCTCTTTGTACCTCAGTTTGCAGAATTCAGGGCATGTGCACAGACCGAGGAATACAGGATGGTGGAGGATTGTCTTGAAGGAATCGCTGGTGGCCCCTTCCACGAATTGTTTGCAAACGAGCACATGCGAGGATTTTTCTTGCAGCGGCATCATCTCATGGCATAGCATCCGGCTATGACGACCATTTGCATTCTATTGCTTTCTGCTGATGTGTCTTGGTGTGATGTCGTTCTGTCAGGTTTTCAGCATGTTTTGTCTTGCTGTTGGTAACTGTGGAGTGTTTTCTTGTCAAGCTGGCCTTGTCAGCATTGCTCGTTGTCACCCTAGTTGTGTCCAACTCAGCAACTCGGTCTGCTTTATCTTATTATTACTACTGCTTGATGGATCTGTGGTGAGAGGGAAGGCTGTGGAAAATAATCGTATTGACATTGTAATTTTTGTTCATGGTCACATTGTGCTGCTTTTTGATTGTTACTTCAACAATCAGTGCCAGCGACTGTTACCATCAGCTTGTTTTGTTTCTGATGGTATTCTCATAGTACAGTAAAAGCTCATTAATTGAAACTCATAGGGGACTGTAAGATTGTTCGAATTAAGCGGAGTTTGAATTAGTGGTTGAATGCTACAGTGAACATACTTCGGGCCATGCTGTGCGGGAAAGAACCAAAGAGCCACATGGACTTGTTATTAAAAAGTAGGTGCTACATGTTTGTAGCAGGTGACTTTGTAAATTAAGTGAAGCTCTAAGACCGAAAAGAATTAATTGATCAGTCAGTGATTGACAAAAAATACCTAGTGAAATGCATTCATGCGAGCAATTTGATGTGAAAATTATGATGCTATTTGAGCTCCAATTGCATTTGTTTACATGGAAAAGTTTGCACAATTAGAATGAAAAGTAATCAGCAATTTCTATTAGCTTGCGTTTCTTCAGTTGCGACTCCATGAGCATCGTTTGCTGCTTGTTCAAGGGCTCTAACGAGTGTCCAAATTGTATTTTGACTAGAAATGCTGCAGTTTCGTTGCTTTGGATCTCTAGTGAGTTTGGTTTGGTTTTGCAACGCATTGTGATCACTCGACGCGGAGTTTCACGAGGAGCGATGAAAACCAGGGGCTCCCTGTTGGAATTAATCATTGTAGATATCGGCATGTTCAAATTATTGGGAGCTTTCTCACAATGATATTCGCAGCGCTCTGCCTGGGCCGGGGCATCAGTTTGAATTAACTGTAAGTTCAGATTATCCAAACTTGAATTAACGAGCTTTTACTGTGTTCAGTTTTGATTATTTGTGGCAAATGACGTGGACAAGATATTTGTCATTGTTTCTGTCTCTGTTGACTGGCAGTTTATAGTGAACTAAAATTATGAATGGGTAAAAACTGTAATAAAATAACCAAAAAATATGGAGCTGTGCCTTTTACATATGTCGTAACGGTCACCACCTTGTAAGCTGCAACATCAGGCACTGTCCTATATAAAAGTGATGTCACATGTAATTTGTCAAGGTGGATTGCTGTCTCGTGAGCCTTTAGAATGAAGGCTCTGTGCCTGTAGCGTTTCGCCCTCGTCTGTCATGCTTTCCCTGGAACTCGTGAAGCCTTTAAAAAAACGTGAGCAGTTTGTAATGTGCAAGTGCTTGGTTCTCCGAGTATGTTCTACGGGTCAAGTCAATGGCTAACCAGTGTATCGTTGTGCAGTAACAAAGTGTTCTTGCTGGTCAGGTGTTCACCTGTATACTGACACAGGTGAACACCTGATACAGGTGTATACCTGATCAGCCCACCTGTATACTTAGAAGCACACATGTTGACTCACTCATTCTTAGTGTGGGAACAGTGCAAGGAGCGAACAGCGACATCATGGAAGCTTGTAGCCAAATAACCATTGCGGATAGTTGCTCAGTTTCAATGCTATATAAGTACCCTCAGCTACTTGCACATCATGCATTCTTGTTGCCTTGTATGTCTCAGATATACCAGTGGGACAACAAACTTTCCTGATGAGTGCAGCTCCTGTAACCGATCGCATTTTCTCTCTTGCAGGCTTCACTAGATTACCTCCTCATCAGCTCGGTGATGGCTCATCTACCCAAAAAGAGTGGCTTCATTGCAACTTCCTTCGAACGAGTAGCTCAGACTACTCTGAAGGTGTGGGTGTCGCGGAGTGGCACACTTGCACATACTGCAAAAAGGTCTTCCGAAAGAAGGCAAACCTGACAGTTCACCTCCGCACCCACACCGGCGAGAGGCCATTCCATTGTCACCTGTGTCCCATGAGCTTCGCGCAGAAGGCAACTCTCGTGTATCACACACGATCGCACACCGGAGAGAAGCCCTACCAGTGCCGCCTACTGTCCCACGTCCTTCACACGAAATGTTAGACTGCTAAACCACGAGCGCAGATGGCATCTGAAGCATTGAAATGCTCCCTGGAGATGCTCTCACTGGCGTCTCTTGTGATGAGCGGACTTTGAGGAGCAGATGTGTTCAATTTCTCTAGTTACCACGGTTTTGTCGGTTAAATGAAGAGTTCGATGACAAAATGAGATTTCACGGCCAGTGATGCTGCCTTTGTATCAGAGGGTGTGGTGGATATTTTATAAAGGCTGCCAAGGTTGAAGACGGCGCTTGTTGGCATAGCATCGTTGCCAAGTGTATAGGGCAACTAACTGACAGAACACAAGTGCTCTGTTACGTGTCCTGTCCTTTAGTTGCACTGTACAACCTGCAGCTTTTAAGATAGCTCATATGTCTCGTGAAAATATTTGGCTGATTGGCGATGTCATGGTGAACTACCTTTTTCCGGCTCCTCTGTTTTCAAAACTATCCCTGTTTTTTCTGACCTGCAACATGAAGTGTCTTAAATGTGTGTTGAACCGTATTGACGTGGACTGCATCTAATTAACATTATATAGAGACATAGGTAAGTGCTGCGATGTAGAGAAATTTTATAGGAATACAATCCTGGTTGACAAAGTTGTGGAAAGAAACTTATTACCATAGCTAGGTTATTTTCTAATGGTAAATATAAAATAATAATAAACTTGCCTCAATTAGGTTATTACCTTCATCCCTCCGCCTTTTCTTATTTGGTGTACGAATCTCAGCAGACATGGAATCATTAAACCAGTGGTAGGAATTTTTGCATATATGCTTGCTTTATCTAGGATTATTTTATTATATTTCAAAAAAAAAAAACTTCAATGCATTCTATTCTCCTACCTTCCTGGTGTAGTTGGTGCCTTGTTTAATTTGATCTCATGACCAATATAAAGCACAGATTCCTGAATAGAATTCACATTTTCAGAAGGCAGGTCCTGCTTTAGATTGGATTTTCTTCATCGAATCTACTGCAAAGCATGGACTGCCTTCCGCATTTTCTGTGGATTCTATGCAAGCATACTAACTGATCGAAGTTATCATTGATCACAATTTTATTGTCGTGCTCGCTCAGGCAACAGCAAGGGCAGATGAGGAACTATTAGGCCACAGTGCGACTGCTAGTTTTGTTACAGTACTTTTTAAAAGGTTTTTCTTTATTCTGCTAAACTATATCATAAGATAACGTGTACTTTGTGCAATGCTGGCATTAGCCTTGGACTGAACAACCAGAGCATTTGTTAACAAATGAAGTATTGAAGCTAATTATCGCTTTGAATTTCATTCGAGTTATGTGTATATGCTTGTCACCATCTTTAATTTCGTCACTGGCATGCAATCTTAGTATACACTACGATGAAGCTTGTGCAGAACACAAAGGAACAATGATGCCGCTTCTCTTAGCAACTGATTTCAATGTGGTCAGTTCCACTTGAAAGAAAGACTCATAATCTAGTGGCCGTAGGAAGTAAGTTTTTCATTGTGAATTTTTTTTTAAAAAAAAGCTTTACACAGCATTTAATAAATGCTGCGTAAAGTTTCAAAACGTTCACCTATCAACCTGTCAAGGTCTCTAATGTTGAACATTAGATGAGTTGTTTGAGTATGTTTTCTCCCTCTGTGCATCTGTTGTCTCCCTAACAGCAGGTTTTTTAAAACTCTGACTTGGCGATGAAAAACAGTATTGTAGGGCAGTGTACTGCACTTAAGGGGGGATGCGGGAATCAAATCGAGAAATTCTCAAAAAAAAAAAAAAAAAAACGAATTTCGGATAAGGGCAGATTTAGATTTTGCATGACCATTTCTATCATGTCTAAAAATATTTCCGCCGAAAACGATCTCAAATCAGGCTTAAAAATTGTTTTTCTGACCGCGGATCGTGAAAAGCTGGCTGAAATCTGCGCAAAAATGGTCCATTTCCGAGCACGATAACCCCGCGCCTTCGCCACCGCTCGCGAAAAGTTTGGTGTCGCTGGAAAGTTTGTTTCACCGCCATACTCTCGGTGAAACCATCTGTCTACGAGCGAAGATAAATTCACAATCAGAAAAAATGGGCGGCATACGCTACACCTTAGACGCGCACCGATTGGTCGCTTCTGTCACGTGGTACTGAGCGCGCTCTGTGAGTGACTGCTGGGACACGCTCGCTTGTGCTGGTCGTCTGCTTCGCGCACGCCTGCTGTGCACATGCTGGCGCATGATAGTTTCTGAATTGGCTACTGCTGTACGACCCCTGATACTCTTCTGTAGTGCGAGGCGTAGCGCACACAATGGATCGTCACGCAGGCCATAAGCGCGGGCCGGATGCGCAGGACGAAGTATCGGACAAAGTACGCGTACGGGAAGTGTAAACGCAAGCCTCCTGTTCGGCAAATGAAGCGGTCAACAGCGATTGATTCAGACGAACTGAGGACCGCGTCGCCACCAAGCTATGTGTCATCGGAAACCGACACCTGCTCGATGCCGCTGCTCGGCAGTGAGGCCTATTATGCGGAGCCGTTGACTAGCTGCAACATTGCGTCGGGGTTCGAGCGCAACAGACGTCTCGTTTCCGTGGCGGAGGATGACAACATCGTGCCAGCGCTTCGAAATGACGATGAGTCGATGGTCAGCAGTGAGGCCATAACCCGGGGCCGTCAAGTAGCCGCGGTATCGCGGTGCGAACGCAAGAGAAGTTTCGATCTCGCAGGCGGGTGCCAGGACGACCTGGTGCCAGCTGTCTAGGATGTCGGCGATCGTTTTCCTCAGCGGAAGCGCACTGTTTAAGTACATTTGGAATCTCATTTTGTGTCCTTGGAAGCCGCCGATAAACAAGCCAGAAGTGTCCGGGATGCGCTTCGCGAGGTGTCGGCAATGGAGCGCAAGTTCGGGTTCGCGCAGCAGACGGAGCAAACATCGACACCAAAAGATGACGAGTTCACCCTAGTTCAAGTTTCTGCCATGAATTTTTTAATAGGGCCTGCACTCTGCCCAAAATGTTGTCAGGAGACTTTGTCAGTGCAGCATAGGACAAAACTGGGCCTGGCAGTAAAACTGGTGCTTTTGTGTGCTTCCTGTAGCCCTATTCATTCTCCTTGGTCATCCAGCAGAAAATCCAAAGGAAGGGCTTTTGAAGTCAACCTAAGAGCCATGCAAACCATTGGAAGAGCCATGCAAGTCCATTGGAAAAGGGCCCACTGCCCTGAATGAGTTCTGGGCTACAAAAAATGTCTCGCATCGGGGCATTCACCAAAAAACCTATCAGGAACTCCTAAAAAACATTCGAACCAGGACCAGAGGAAGCTGCACAAATCTTTGCAGATGCCGTGTATGCAGTAAAAGATGTGTACAGCAAGATGCAGCCATCAAGCCCAAACAGCATCACAGTTGTGTATGACGGCACGTGGCTTACGAGAGGCCACAGCTCGCACATCGAGGTGGGCTGCATTATTGAATTTTATACGGGGCTTGTGCTGGATTGCACAGTCCTCTCCAACTTCTGTCTTGGGTGTTGTCAAAAACCAGCAGAAAGCGACCGCAACTTCGTCACTTGAGCTGAGAAGCATGAATGTCAGAAAAATACTGATGTTGACTCCGCACAGATAGAAGTGGAGGCTGCTCTAACACTTTTCAGGCGCTCTGTCAGCAGGTATGGCCTTTGCTACACCAACATTATATGCGATGGTGACAGCCGAATTTATCTTGCTTTGTGCAAAGATGAGGTGTACGGTTTTATACCACTGACGAAAGAAGACTGTGTTAATCATGTGCAGAAGAGAAAGAGCACTGTTCTACGCACATTAGGTGGCACGAGAAAAGAAAGGCGAGCCATTGGGTGGGAGGGGTGGACTGACCCAGGAGCTGATTAAAAAGCTGACCACCTGCTACGGGTTAGCCTTGCAAAAACACGCAAGCGTCAGTGACATGCAAAGGGCCGTGATGGCCACTTTTTACCATGTCATGTCCAATGACGATGGGCCTTACCATGAGCTCTGCCCACCTGGCCCTGATAGCTGGTGCAAACATCGTTCAGCACAGGCCAAAATGGAGCCAACACCAACTCACAAGTATAGCCTGCCAAAACGTGTAGCGGAGGCTCTGTTGCTGGTATATCAAGGTCTCTCTGACCCGCAACTGCTGGAGCGATGCAAAGGCAACAAAACGCAGAATGCAGCGGAAAGCTTACATTCAGTGATCTGATCACTGACTTCAAAGGATAAGCACGCTTCATTGTTCCCAGTGGAAACTGCTGTACATGAAGCAGTTGCTCGGTACAATTTTGGTAATTTGCGAGCCTACACTGAAATGTGCAGGCTTATGGGCATCAAACCTGCCAGCCTCATCCTTCAAAGAGCTGAAGAAAAGGACAAACAAAGAAAAAGAAAAGCACGCAGGGCAGAAAAAAATGACACAGCAGAGACGTAAAAAGCCTCTCGCAAGCAAGGACACAAAATATTACAGTCTCGGGCCATTTTGATGGGCTTTTACTGACCGTTCAACTTTACAGTTTTCTGAGAATTGTGTTTTGACCCAACTGTCTTGCTTGCCATGATGTTTGCATGAATATGGCTCGACAGATTTTGATGTGGTTTTTTGCAGTGTGTTCCTCAGTCAATTTCCTGTGTCGTAGACGTTTCCATATTTGTTAATTACTGTCTCGTTGTTTTTACTCCCAAGCTAATTTCACATTGTGATAACGACTGCATTTAGAAGGGTGTATAAAACATTCTTTGTAAAATAAAAACTAAGTCATAAAAATTTTTGCAGAAAGCCACGACATCAACCATCCATATGGCTGAAATATTAGAGCAACTATGGGCTTCTATCATGTTATGTTGTCAGGCCAGGCTTTGGGCAAGTGATGCATACAGTGATGCATAAAAAAAATTCATAATTCTAGAACTATAGAGATAGCTAAACAAAACTTTGTCATTTATCATTCAACACAGTTTCCAATAAGCATGTGAAATTTCATTGCTCTACAACAAGAACTACGGAATTTCGCCTTCGTTTCCCACCTCCCCCCTTAATATGTAAAATTAAAGCTGCAAACATTTATGTACCGGTTTGCATTACATTGAAATGTGCTGTACCAATTTATGAGCATGGTTTTTGGAAAACCATATTGAGCATTTAAGAATTTTCTATAAGGTGTAAGTGACTCAGATTTGTGCATTTTTAATGTTCTGGTGAATTTAGTCTACAGAATTAAGATATTTGTTCTTGTGTCTTCTTTCAATTGTTAACATATGGTGGAGCATGCACATAGGTTACTCTTGTTAATGGGTATTAAGTGATGGTTTCATGTTAACTTCCCGCTATATCCTCGCAACAATATCAACTTGGTCATTCACAGGACAGTTACTTGTGCTGCTGCCAATCTTTGCTCCACATGTTACCTCAATGCTTGCATTCTCTCTGCCATCATTTTTATCATTGCCTTTTTTGCCTGACAAGTGCAACTGTGGCTTTGTACACCCAAGTATAGTGGTGCGCTTTAGCTTGTGGACAATACTACCTGCTTTACTAATCTTTAAGCACACGTCACATGTGTCACATTGCTCTTCCTCCAACTTCCAGTCGTAGAGTTGCCCTTATGCTTAACTTGTTACAATAATAATAATATCTTGTTGCTTATCTGGAAGCGTGCAGCAAAACGTAACCTGTTTTACAAAACTTGGAAATGCAGTCTCTTTTTCTGTGTAACTCAGTTACTACAGACAGCTGTAGTGTGGAAAACAAAGGGCGTTTCGGAGGCAGGAAAATTCATTAGCTAAAATGCACTGTTTGGCAAAACATGTCTGGCAACGTCATGGAGGGTTCTGTGATAGGAGAAGCTGGTGCTCAATGATTAATTTGATCAAATCCTGGCAGGCTCCGTGTAATTTGTTTTGGGAAGCCTGATGACCAGACCTTAAATGAGACGGAACTAGCAGGTAAACAGCAACTTGCAAAAGGGGATTTAACGAAGCAATACATTATGAATATCCGTGTAAACATTGATCATGCATTGTGTGAAGTGATTGGTCTGTGAAATAGATGAAGTTCACAGCTATTGAGGTCTCAAATCGAGGTTGTTTATGGCTTGATCATTACATTCTGTCATTACAGTCATTCAATGACGACAAAGGTAAATGCCTAGCAACGGTGGTCATGGGTCCTACAGTTAAGGTCAACATTGCAAGCCCCCCTACTGACAGAGTATATGACCCCTCGCCCTATGTCAGTGCTGAAAGATGCATATTCCCAGAACCCGGCCCTAAGAAAGCACTTGAAAAGCAGCCGACACTGCAGTTTCCATGAGATACAGCCAAGAACAGAGCCAAGATCATAGGCCCAACTCAGCAGACCTGGTGTGTCCTGGACAATAACTCGTTATGCAGGGGGGTGATACAGACAGGTGGTAAGCCTAACCTGCTTGGCTGATGGTCCATTGTTCTGATTCAGTAGGCTATGCCGTTGGTTCACCTTCACCTGCATGCTCTGCCGTTCAGGTATACAAAGAAAGCTTATTTGCCCAATGTTGATCTAATGTGTTTTCATTCCAAGGCATAAGAATCAGTGCACATGTCTGCTGCTATGGTAGCTGTTCGACCGAAAATAATTTTATATCCTGGCTGTACAATAAGAAATGGTGCAGGGTGTGTTGACTGACAAAGTACAGTGCCTCTACAATGAACTCCAGTTGTGCCGTGAAATGACATCAGTAATAAGTGTTTCTAAGTTAGCTGGTGAGATGACCTGTGCCAGGTGACTCTGTGCCAACAATGTTTTGCTGACAAACCGAACAAAAAATACTCATGCAAAAACAAGCTTTCTTTTATTACCTGTTTGCCACCATAATATGCAAAATAACACAACTGTGGTCTTTTACAGTAGTTCACCTTATTTTTGTGAGCTCTGCTCAGTCATAACTTCTACTATCACGTGGCACGTCGGTATTCTTGACCGACAACTGACAGATTTGCAATAGCGAGTCACCATGCTTGCTTGTCCGCAAAAAAGCAGGTACGAGATCTTGCTCACAGCTTGTCACCTTTGTGTAGGCACCCTCGCCATGTGTCATCGCTCGGAGGCATCCTCTCAGCTGTTCTCAAACATAGCAAGGCGCCCGCTGCGGCATCCTGTGAGCAGCTACACGACAGCTTCCCGCAAGAGGATGGGAAGTCGCGGAGGAAAAGGACAGAATGAGAAGGGTTCCTTCAAGTGTGACTACTGCGGCAAGGTGCTCATGCATAAATACAACCTGGAACTACACATGCGCACCCACACCGGCGAGCGACCGTTCCGCTGTCCCCTGTGCCCCATGGCGTTCGCACAAAAGGGGGTCCTTGTGCGCCACATACGAGCCCACACAGGCGAAAAGCCATTTCAGTGCAGCTTTTGCCCTGAATTGTTCAGCCGCAAGTCGTATCGCACGAAACACGAGCAGAAAGTTCACATGCGACTCGTCACGAACGCTCTATAAGGATTACAGTGTACGTAAGCACCACTCAAGTAATGTGTGATAGAAAAACTTTCACCTGGTGTGTGAAGAAATGGGTGAAAAATTGTTACATTGTGAAGAAATACTGTATATGGATTGTAAACTAGTGCACTTTTTACCAGAGACAGATACTTCAGAAAACATATAAGAGTCACTTGCTTAACATTTAAAATATTTAGCATTATCAATATTTTCTTGCATATTACAGTTTCACACTTTCATGCATCATTTATTTGTTTCGGCAAATTTTTCTTATTAAGATGTATTATTTCCTAAATGCAAATGTCCTGAAAGTACCATGTAAAGCATATTATAGGTTTATCACTTTAGTCATGATAGTGATCACATCTCATGCATGTAAGAATGAAGTTAATAAATCTGTCTTTATACTTGAAAAGTGCAATGTTTGCATATACTCACATGAAAGTGACTGTACACCAGGAAGTTTTTGGAGATGTGCTCAAGCTATGAAGGCTACCCTTAACTCTTAAATGTTCACAACTTCTGTGCTCGCATATTGTCATATAAGTGGAATTTCCACACGCTGCCATAGCAATACACTGAAGAGAAAGTACTACCTGCTTCATCACTATGACAAACAAATGCGTCCTAACATGCTTACTGTTTGCCTTTTGATTAATGATGTAATGGCTGCATGAAATATACCGCAGTAGTAGCAGAAAATTTTGGGTTAATTGGATGGTACAGAAATGGGTAAGAGCTAGCAAAAATACAAAAAGAAAACTTTTCTCATGTATACATTTGTCAATTCCCTAATGACAGTGCTTGAGACTTTAAAGACACTTGTATGACAACAATGTGGGTACACCTATGAGACGCAAGCAGAGAAGAGACGGGACACATCTTGGTCCATGTCCTCAATGTGCATTCATATCATTATTATGCAGAACCAATCATTCCTAACTGAGCGTGCTTACAACTTTGGTATAGTGAATACTTTACTTGTAAAGGGTGCATGATTTATATGCCAGTGGTGAATGGGAACACGAAGAATCCAATGCCATACCAATAATTTCATTGTTAGGCTGTCTATATGGAGTCGGTTTTCAAGATCAATTAGATGAGAATACCTGATATTACAGAATGTAAAAATGTTTTACGCATTGTTCTTTGGATCAGGCGCAAGACCATGCTCAAGACAGCTTGGCCAGACCTCAGTGCCTATGCAACGCTTACGTTATGTTTGATGCGGAGAAATAATAATTTGAGAGGTGAACGGGGCCTTCGTCTCCTCAGAGAGAAACTCTTTATTGCAAGGCAGAGAATTTACCCGTCATGTGTCTGTGGCACGATCCATGAAGGTGCCATACACGCACGGCTCAGCGTAACGGGTTGAGGATCAAGAGGCGTGAACAGGGTATAGAGGTGGGGAGAGGGCACCTTCTCGAAAAATGAGCACCCAAAACGCCGAGTACCAGGCCCAAGTACCTTCTTTCTCTATTTTTATCTCTTTATTCTTTTCTCTCCCCTTTTCTACTCTCTTCATTGACGTCGCGCTGTTATGTCGATGTTACAAGTTAAATAAGCAACTTTACTTTTTTTTAATTTCACCCCGTAAAACACAGGAAATAAATCGGCCATCACTAAAGAAGCTTAAGATATAGAGCTTCGATCAATCTCAGAACCATTGTGGCGATGGATGGATGGATGGATATGGCTGTACCCTTTAGATCGGGCAGTGGCTAGCGCCACCAAGCCGTAATACTTATTGAACCAAAAACTAGATTTATTTTTTTTCTTTAAAAAGTGAGTTTGAGGATTCGTACTTTGCAGTGAAGGGTATAACTTTCACTCATGCCATGACTTTAGCCATCAATCAGATAACCTCCTTCTAGTTAAGTCTACCCGCTTAAAGTTTATTTTGCCCTCCCTGTCCCTAAACCCCAGTGCTTTGAAAAACTCTGTGCCATCATCCTGAACTATAGGGTGAAGCCCTTTACAGAACATTATCAAGTGTTCGGCAGTTTCTTCTTCCTCTCCACACGCACTACATACTGTGTCAACTCCTTCGTATTTGGCCCGATATGTCTTGCTTCGCAATACTTTCGTCCTGGCCTCAAACAGTAGAGAACTACCCCGAGTATTATCATAGATCCTTTTTGGCAATTTCCTGCTTAAAAGTTCGATCGATCTCTAGTGCGATCTCTAGACTGACATGTCGATTCTCGACATGTCAGTCTCCGTTTCCTTCACTTTATTCTTAACCGATAGTTCTTTTTGGTTTGGCCACCTGCTGTTTTCTTAGTATTTACCAGTCAATTTCCTGGTTCGCTTCCTCCATTTTGTATCGACATTCTTCATGAACAAGTAGCTGAAAACCTTCCTAGCCCAACGCTCCTCCCCCATTTCTCTCAATCGCTTCTTAAATTTTACCTTGCTGCTAGCTTCCCTGCCCTCAAATGATGTCCATCCCATATCACCTTGTACTCATCCCTGATTTGGTGTAATCCCGTGAGCTCCTAAAGCAAGCCTACCTATTCCACGTTGCTTAATTTTTAATCTTGCTTGAACTTCTGATCTCATGCACAAGACCGGATTGCCGAACGTCAGTCTAGGAACCATGACCCCTTTCCATATTCCTCTCACAACATCATACCTATGGTAATTCCTTAATTAGTGCCCTATTTTTCATCACTGCTGCATTCCTGTTACCTTTAGTCGTCACGTATTTTTCGTGTTCCCTTAGGTACTCGGTTCCATTGCTTATCCATACGCCCAGATATTTGTATTTATCTGTTACCTCTAGCGTGACCTCCTGTATCCTTGTAGGTACATCATGAATAACGACAGTGACATTGGACACCCCTGCCTAATTCCCCGTTTCACCTCTGTGGGCGTGGTTACCTGTTTTTCCCACTTTATAACTACCTTGTTACTTTTATAGATTTCCTTTAAAAGATTAGTGACTACATGTTCTACGCCTAGTGTGTCCAGTATTCCCCACAAATCCCCTTGAACCACGCTATCGTACGCTCCCTTGATATAAAAAAAATTGCGGCATATTCACGGGGTGAATGATGATGAATGGGCAAAGCTCCGGAGGGATTCATCGGTAAACTGTGAATCTTCCGTGTAATTCGCCCAGTCGATCATCATGTAAAGACGTGAGAAACGCTGTGTGTGTATATACACAAATCAACTTTTATTTGTTCTTAGACGATGGATGGCTTGCGATGTCCCTTGCCTCGCGCGCTTGCACATCGGGATTCTGTCTGCGAGCGCGCGCTGCTGCCGCCTTGCGCTCTCTCCGCTGTGCAGCCTTATCCATCCGGCGACTCCGAGCGCGCGCCAACAGCGAACGGATTTTATTACAACGCTCCCCCTAGCGTACGTCGCCGCACTAAATCGAACGATTGCCTTCAACCAATGACACGCGCCATATGTGACATCATTCCTATATTATAAGATCTCGCGTCTTTCATCAACTACAAGTACCGCTTTCTAGTTTATAACATCTTGCATCTTTTCATTATCAGCTACAAGTACCACCATCTAGTAAACACTACAAGAACTAAACGAGAGGTGGCTACATACAGGAGACGGTACCGCCATCTAGTGAACACTGCAAGAACTAAACGAGAGGTGGCTACATACAGGAGACGGTACCGCCATCTAGTGAACACTGCAAGAACTAAACTAGAGGTGGCTACATACAGGGGACGGTACCGCCATCTAGTGAACACTGCAAGAACTAAACTAGAGGTGGCTACATACAGGCTACAGGGGACGCACAGCCCACGCCCTAAGGAGCTTCGCGCCTAAAAAATGCTAGCCACCGGAGCCTGTGTTCCTTTTCTGCTATTTCGATGCACTGCGTCAGTGAGAACAGATTGTCTTCCAACCTCCTGTGTTTCCGAAACCCATTCTGCAGTTCTCCCAGCACCCCCTCATCCTGTATCCATGCCTGCAGTGTTTCCTTTATAATCTGCATCGCCAGCCTGTAGACCACTGATGTCACTGTTATGGGACGGTAGTTGTTTATGTCAGCTTTGTCCCCCTTTCCTTTATAGATCATGCTCATCTTGCTAAGTTTCCATCCAACGGGCACTTCACCATCGACTATTAGTTTGCTCACTGCCTCTCTCAAAGCCTGCTTAGACTTCGGACCTAATGTCTTTATCAGCATAATTGGTATGCCATCTGGGCCTGTTGATGTACTACTAGGAACCCTTTTCTCAGCCCTTTCCCACTCTCGTTGTGAAAATGAAGCCATTGCACCACTTGATTCGTCCTTGTCTATTATGGTGCTTAAAGCACTTCTTTGTTGAAATTCTTCTGTCACCCTAATTCTTATATATTCAATAGCTTCGTCCCCTTCTAGCCTAGCACTTTGGGCTGTAGTTATAATGGTAGTTACCATTAAGCGATGATAGTTACAATCAGCGCCGCTAGAGCATACTCTGGTCGTACTCACGTGACCAAAACAAAGGTTGCATCACGTGGGTGGCATCGTACAGCTAGCCAATGCCTCCTAGATTTCTCGTGCCTGCCGGATGAACGTGAAACGCCGCTTATCTATAGCGGCGCTGCCTACGTAGGAATAAAAGTTTTCGTACTTAGCCTTTGAAATTAGCAATTTTAGCGTTTGTTACTTGTTTCAGAGGATGCCTTGTATTAAAAAAAAACGTTGCTGGTTGAATGACGACGTCACTTATGTAAGGTTATTTAAAATTGCGTTTACGTCTTTTAAAAACTCTTTTCGTTATTTTTGTTGCATATAAGATCAAAAGATGTAAAAACCTATTTTAAGACACTCCTACTTGAGTGGCGTCACCACCGTAGTTCCAACGACCACCGCTTCCCAAGTGACCGCCGATAATCCGACAGGCACGGGAAATCTAGGAGGCGTTGGTACAGCCAGTGGTACAGCAACCAATGCAGCAACGACGATTTCGGCTCTGCCGATGAGGGAGGGATATGTTTTCTGCATTTAGAGTGACAGAGTTTCAAGTAGATTTATGGCCGTATGGTGGTGATGCGCAGTGTCGATGTCCAGCTTTATGACGGTGCTTAAAATGGTATTCGCGATTGAAATGCGACCAGCGAGGCGGCGACTGCTAGAAGGTGGTGTAGGGTGAAACAGGACGAAGGACCCAGAGATGACGACGCTACGATGAAAGTATTCCGTATGTTTATATAGAGTTATAAAACCCCCCGATTCTTGACCAAGCCACTGCAATGGCTGTGGACCGCAGTGTTTCGGCGAACAAGATCGATAAGTTGTCGACGATCGATCGATGCTCTTCATCCAAGGAGAAGCTTGCTTGTCAGCTCAGTAGGGTAACGTGTATGTGGCCTCACTTGACAGTATTTAACAACAATCTACTCGCGACAGAAGCAGCCGCGTTCCTGGTTACAAGGTTGTGAATGCCGAATGCAACGCCAAACAGGACCTTGCGCTATACTTCGTCAATTATCGTGTGTGAAGTCTACGACAAAAGGAGTTGCGGAAGAGAGCATTCGCGGAAACGCGTGACTGCTTGCCAGTTTGTGTGGATGCGCCTATGACGGGAAGCTATTGCGTGAACTGCGTGCCAGCTGAAGTCGGCGAGTTGTGGTAATGTGCGAGTGAGTTCCCCTAAACGATTGCCGCCGAGTGAACGCAGTGGGAGTGACAACCAAATGTGAGCACAAATGTTTTGGTGCGGCGAGTGTTAGCGCAGAAGAGTCTCGTTCAGCCTTCAAGCCTTGTTAAAAGACTTGGTTGGTGAAGTTGCACGGCACAATTACACAAATAATGATGGGAATTAACAGTTACACATCTTTAAACTATGGCTTGTCCCACTCTCCCCTAATTGATTACATACCCCCCGCGTCGTATGTTCTTTTCGCGGGTAAACGCACGCGAGCGGGGCCTGTGAACGCGGCCGAAGCATGGGGTTTCGGAGATAGGGGCCTCTCCTTAAAATTTTAGTTAAGATTTATCTGTGCAGTAGCAATAAGATATACACAGCTTGATTAGCACACTCTGGTCCCCGAAATGCGTGTGACCGGCAGAATCGCCTGCCAACTTGGTCATGCAACAGCAATAATAGAAAGGCTCCCTGTTCTGGCAGCCTCCTTGTAACCGCTCCCCCTCCCCTCAATATGGATGCACCCCCTGCAAAAAATTCTCAGGATGTCCTTGGGCTGATTATTGATTTGTGGGGTTCAACGTCCCAAAACCACGATATGATTATGAGAGACGCCGTAGTGGAGGGCTCCGGAAATTTTGACCACCTGGGGTTCTTTAACGTGCACCCAAATCTGAGCACACGGGCCTACAACATTTCCGCCTCCATCGGAAATGCAGCCGCCGCAGCCGGGATTCGAACCCGCGCCCTGCGGGTCAGCAGCCGAGTACTGCCCTTGGGCTGAAGCGCAGATGGAATGAGCTGGCCCATTTCTATCACTGGGAGGGTGCATGTCATAACATCTCATGTATTAGACCGGTCAAATGCTGGAGCAGAGAAGAAATGCCCTGTCTGTTTTTAACAATTGTGGAAGGACGCGGGGAGGGTGGGTCTTGCTTGAGCAGCGACTGTGAACTTTGATTCTAAGGGTACAATGATGATTGCTGGAGCGTACTTTCGTGACAGTCATGAGTAATTAGCTTATATACCCTTCTATGTGCTGCGCTCTTTATGCGAGGATACTGTGTGAAAACAGCATATCTTGCTGGAGTTGTCCACATTAACTTACATCAGAGCTTTTGATATTGGATCCAAAAGAGTTAGCTTCCAGCCTTACTTCGTATAATATGACGATTTGTTGTACCACATTTGTTGCTTCAACCCTTGTGGTGAAACTGTGATTTTTTTTTTGTTCGTTTGCCACTATCTACGAGCTTCGTCAGCATGGCCACATCAGCAGAAATGGACTTTTGAAGAAGATACATTCAAGCGATTAATCTGTGTGTGCTGGCAAGGAGAGAACACCGAGAAAAATTGAGGAACACTTCATGGTCACTGTGCATCTTTGGTACTAAAAAGTAGGCTATTCTGATTGAGCTATGCGACATGTTTTTTTTTTTTGTGTGTGATCCTATAACCTCCCTCGTCCCATTTCAGAGTCTGCAGAATACAGTTACTTTACATAATTCTCTTGTGTGCTTCATGTTCTCATTTCTTGTAGATTCTCAAAATCATTCCATAGGCCTCAAGAAGGAAGGCTGCGTCATTAGGACAGAGCTAGCATTTATAGAAATTACTCAAAACATTGTTGATGAAAAAGTCTGTTAATTGAAGTAAAGTAGCGAATTGGGCTAGTTGGAACGTACTCATCACAATCAGTGCACAAAATAAAAAGACAAACACAAGTGCCGTGCACTTGTGTTTTCTGTCTTTTTTTGTGTACCGATTGTGACGAGTCTGCTAATTGTGTTTCATTGCTGTTCGTACAGTTCCATTTTATATTTCACACCATGTGTGTGGTTGTGTAGGGATGCCTGCACAAAACTGTTCACCGTGTGATTTCATAGCTAGCACTGTTTGTTTACCCTGTTCTGAATGTACTGCAGTGTCTTTCAAACAAAAAGTAGTTGCTTGGACACAGCGGTAATTTTTCTATTATGCCTCCGTGCGTGTGTGTGTATGGCAGCCGTGTTTCGATGGAGGAGAAACGCTAGAGGCTCATGTATTGGTGTGATATCAGTACACGTTAAAGAACTCCAGATAGTGAACATTTTTAGGCGCCCTCCTCTACAGCGACCCTCATAATCATGTTTGTAGCTTTGGGGCATGCAATCTCCACAGTAACAGTTGTATGTTATGTTGGTGTCTCTATGCATTATGTGTATGCGTGATCAAGTATGTGTGTGTGTAAGGCATTTGCTTGTTCCTAAAACTATCAGAAGTGTGCTGAAGTTATATTCACTTGCCATGGTACTTTAGCCTTCAGTTATCACAATCATCGTAGCTTCATCTTACTATAATAGGTCTTTTACTGCTTTGATTCCTGTTCCTGATCCGTTTGGGTATGGTGGACACGGTATAGGGGCATGCCTAAGAAACTTCTTTTTTTTAATTTTCTATTTTGTGCAATTTGCCAACATGTCAATTTACCGTTATAGTAGGGTAGCTCTTGTATCTGGATCAGTTAGTTCCTGCTATTTGCACAGACCATAAAGCTATGATGACTTAACTAAAAGTATGGATTAGAAGAGGTACAAGCAAAGGAAGCTCTAAACTTTCCACTGTTCATTCAGGCACCCTGCACAACAAACAGGCAATGAATTGCTGTGCAGGATACCTGAAAACCTTCAATGGTGCTGTCCACTGATCCCGTCATATACTTAGGGAAAAGACCCGTCAGAAATGAGGGACAAGTGCGTTTCTGGTACATATAGTGTACTTGAGATAATTCAAACTCTGATAATTCATACTTTCATTTAATTCAAACAGAATTCAGTTTTTTGGTTGGCCCTCTATTCTTTAAATGTATTTAAAAGCCTAATTCAGACTCCATTATTTAGTTAAACTCGTACTTTTTGTGGTTTCATACAAGAAATTATCCTATGCTTTCCCACTACAATTTAAAAGTGTGCATTCTTATATAATCCTAACAGTCTAAAAATGAAAAATAAGCTCCTCAGGCCTTCAAGGAAAAAGGTTTTGGCAGTGAACAAATGTTTGAAACAAACCACATGCAATGTAAATCGTGATGCTTCTCAACTGGTATATAAAGCTTTGTCCTGAAGGCACATGTAGCGAAGAAGCAGTTGGCAGTTCACTATCTTTTTAAAAGGTCTGATCAGCAGTAAATGGCCTGTAAAGTCGTGGATTTTACATTTCTGCTTTCTGCTCATTGCATGTTGTTAGGGTTTAAAAACACTTGAAAATTTTTTAAATGTGATAAAATAAATGCCTAATCATAATGTGTGGTGTTATTTCACCCAGAGTCATTTATCTGAGAACCTCTGATAATTGAAACCTTTATAACTCAAACAAAATTCAGAGGTTCCTGTTTGAATTAACAAAGTCAACTGTAATATTCCACACTGATAAGAACTCTTGAGGGTATGTAGCGGCTTTTTTTTATTAGGACAGTACTGTGCCTATTCCCTTAAGGCCATGTAGTGGGTGCATAGCAAATTTGAAAAGGTTTCATGCACTAAGTGTTTGAAGTATGCTCTAGGAACAGGATGTCACTATTGGGTTCAACTCCTAAAGGCAAAGCTTTAGGGTCCCCTAATTTTTTTTTTATTAGGAAGCATGGAGCGTTATGTATCTGTGGTACATCTGTAGCCCCCTTTCTCTCTCTCTCTTTTTGCCTAGAGAGATCCTCATGAGGGTCTTATGGGATTGGAGGGACCCTTTTTTTAAGCTTTTCTGGTGAATTAGTGCAGTCTCTATTTCATATTAGTTGGGCAAAGCATTCGAAAAATGGTTGAAAGAAATTAGCGGTCCCCTTGCTTGTCTCCCTTCGAATTTTTTTTTATTTAGTGTCTACACAGTTTTATGCTCCGTTTAATAGCATTGCAATTATAGTGATCTTCATTAGGGCAAAATACGATGCATGCAAACATGGATACCAGAAAGAACTCGAGGGAGCTGTTCTCGATTTGTGCACCTTGTGGACTGTCCATTTCAGTCACCGTTGATTGGCCGGAGCTTGGTGAGCGTTGCGTTCCCTGCTTCCTGTTATTTTTTTACAACTGCAACATCATTTTATAGTTACGAAGCTTCCACAACTCTCGACTATAATGAGAGGGACAGAATGCGCTTCATAGGAACAAGCGCAGCCCCCAGACGTTAACTTTTTGGAGGCTGTGCATGAACTGTGATCACATTAGTTCTTGAATGAAGTTTAATGCAGCTGCCTTCCTAACATGACTGGAATGTCAGTACACATTCTCTGCATCGTTTTCAAACATCTGAACATTTTCATATGCAAGTTCTTAATTGTCAACCTTGTTTTAAGTATCTTGTTGCTGTACATTTGGTCCACATTTCTTCAGTCCATTGATGTGGTCAGGAATGCCATGACATCGTGGCTTGCCCCTTTTTCAAGCAACTGAATGCACTCTGCCAAAGTGGACATGTTCACCAGCTGGACAGTTTGAAAAACTCGTTGCTAGACAACACAAACTGCATTGCTGTTGTCCCGATTTCTCACTTGTGCATGAGTTACCATGCCTACCATCTCCTATAAATAATTTATATTAGCTTAGTCTGCTGTGTTTCAAGTTCTATTATGCTTTTTATTGCTTGATGTATTATCAAATGTAACAATAGAATGAGCATAGATAACACCTTATATTTTTTCGCTAGATTTAATACATGGTAGCAAAAAGACTTGATTCCACCCTGGATGCACAGTAAAAAATAATGAGTGCCAATATATCAATGTGTGGAAATCATCCCCGTAGTCAATTAGTCATGTGAGGCGTGACTCTCAAAACTTGACCTTTGAAGCCTATTGATGATTCTTGACTTGGCCTGGCGAGCCGCAACATAGCCTGTGATTTTAGAGAAAAGAGGTTCCACACTCAGTGACCACCACTCAAGCAGCCTTAGGGCCTGTCCATGCGCTATCCGCACAGCCGCATCGCACGTCGCGAGACACCTGCCATACGCATGCGCAGGGCGAAAGAGCATATTGGCGATGCTCTTTTGCTCTCCGCTTGCGTGCGGCAGGTATCCCACTACGTGATGGGCAGATGTGCAAATAGCACGTGGATAGGCCCTTAGCCTATTGAAAGTTATTTTTACCTCACTCCCCCAACCTCCTTCTCCCCGATTTCTCTTGGATGGGATATCTCCTTTGCAAATCAGTACATTTGTAGAGCTTCGCAAGCTAAGGATTCATTTATCATCATGTCAATTTTGTAAGTTGCCCACCATAATGCTCTGGAGTTCTTACTTTCATTCTCTAACTTTCAAATAACTAACATCTGAGCTAGCTTGTATATATTCATGTTCAAAGACAGGACGTACAAACACAGACACCAGAGAAAAGTGAATGCACCACAAGTGCCGTTAGTTGTGGCCTTTATTTCTCTTGTGCGTCCGTGTTTGCATGCTCCGTAATTTAACACCCTTACCTTATTTTCTTCACTTAACGTTAAACATTCTGCTACTTCATGACGCACTTGCATGTCAGCTGTCAACACAGATAGCTGGTAAAACAGCGCAAAAGGAAATGTTGGCGAGTAGAAAGAACAAGGAAACAAAAACGACTTTCCTTTTATGCTGTTTTACATATGGATGTGTAACAACTGCCTTGCATTCAGGCGCCATTAGGTTACAGATGACTGTGCTTTATTTCGTAAGTCAGCCTGCTCACTGTGTGGCTCAGAATTTCCCTCTTTCCTTGGTGCAGAACTGTTGCCACCTGGAGGCATCTTTTTCAAGCATGAATGCCGGAACACTGGGAAGTGTCTTGCATAGCAGCTGCTGAGTGCATGTGCCCTAGCTTCCTAAAAGATAAGGAAGAATCGTCGAAGGACTCTCACATTGGTGCCGCTACTGCAGCAAGTGTTTTTCTTCCAAAAAGCAACCCAGACAGCCACATGCCTTTACTGGCGAGAGACTGTTCCACCATCACTTCTACGCTATGAACATTGCACAAAAATGCTGCATTTTCTGCCGCATACAAAACTGACCGTATAAAAGCCATTTCAGCGTCTCATTTGCCCAGTGACATTCAGCTACATGTCATATATATGAAGCTTCAGGATAAAGTACATGTGCGGCAGATCATGCGTTTTCTGCGAGGCACTGCCACTGACATTATTTCTTTTTTACCAGACTTGTGAATTTATTGACTTTGTGCTGTTTACAACGTGTTACTCTGCGTTTTTATGGCAATATGAAAAACTTAAGTTGCTCGTTTTATTGTAGTGTTTCAATATTGAAAGCTCATTATCTGTTTACCAAATAGCATCAGCTTCTCTCTTCTCAGTTCATCATTAGTGTGCAATTTTTTGTTCCACCAATGCCGATGTAGGTGAAATGTTTTTGTTCTCCATTGAATGTGCTTCACGAATCAGTGTTTTAAGTGTCTTTAATGCAACTCTTTGTGTCCCAGCTGCCTTGGACATATCTAGATTAGGGTTTAACTACTGTATACATATCTGCATAAAATAACGGTATTATTTTTTTTAAGAATGGGTTACTTAAACTCATAATATCCAACAGATTGCATAAAGGAAAAGAAATAACTACATTTTAATAATTTACCCCAGGAGAAATGCAGGAAGAAAAAAAAGTGTTTGCTTGCAACAACTGTTATTTTTTTTTGCTAAGAGTAACCAGCAAATGCTAGAGCACTTACTCTGTTTGCCTTGAGCATGCAAGGCCTTATTTATTTTTCTTACATTCTATTGCTTGTACATAAAGTTGTGGATTTCCATTAGCAGATTTCACCCATAGCACTTATAAGGCACATCATTGACCAGTTCACCATGAAGCATACAAGTGCTCTCGTAAACGAAGTGCTTGTCAGACAAAAGCTCATCGACATCAATGTTGCAGCCATATAGGTAGATTGGTGCAGTGCCTATAAAGGCGCATTACTATATTCCTATTTTGTGGAAACAACTGTGCGAATTTAATGTCTTGGAAAAGGCAAGAAAGGATAATGGTGGTTGAAAATAAAAACCACACTGGGTTCGTGGATGTCTTCTTGCAAAACTGTCCTTTTTTTTTTCACAATTGAAAGCATTCTTCGATGACTGTGGTTACAACACCTATCAGCTCGTACATTTCATGTGCACTGGTTGTTTATCAGTTCGTTAGTGTAGCTGTTACACTAAACTACATCGTCTTACAGGTGTGTCTATACACTCAAACCCCATTATAACAAAGGAGCATTTAACATGAAATTATGTTTGTTACATTAAAGAATTCATTTAATGGTGTATTCTCAATACTATATCTATTGCAAGGCTACTCTTTATTTACTTTGTTATAACTAATATTTCATTATATCTGAGTTCATTATATCAAGGTGTGAGTGTATATAACATTGTAGCCCAACAGACATCACTTAGTAGGCACCTGAGAGTTCTTCATTGTACTGAGGAACTATAATATTGCTCAGAAAAGAGATATTTCCATGTCGCTGATCGGGACTGTTGTGAGTAAAGAGGGCTTGAATTATTTTGCTGTTTTCCTTACATCAATAAGGATTCTCCATCTGTACATTTGTGGAATCAGTTCTCCGGTTGGGTACCTCAATGTTTGTGTTGAGAATCCTGCCCGTGTTTTGTGCACTGCTGTCAGCGTTATTCAATTATACGTGTTGCGAAACTTCATTCTGAAATTCGGACACGGAGTTGGCCCAATTTTTTGGGAGTTAGCTGACGTTCGGGCCACCTGAGAGCGGCAACACAAAACACAAATAATGAGTTAATAGTGGGCGTGGGGATCAACAGGTGGCACGAGAATCTGCTTACTCCCTAGAGAGGGGGGCCAATGACGTGTCCGGATTTGGTACATGCAGCCTATGGGAAGTTTTGCAACTCATATGATTGAATAACTCTGAAATGCTGTCACCTTACTGCTGTCTAGGTTCCAAGTGGTTTTTGCACTACACTTCGTTACAACCTGAGAACAAATTCCAGTTCTGCATACACTCATTGCTGTTCCTCTCACTAAGCATTTGCACAAGTGCTCATACCAATAGCGCTTGCTCATTTTCGGGATGTGAAGCACTTCTGAAGTGTTTCAAATAGTTGAATTTCTGGTATGCACATTTATGTTTCCGCTTTTAGGCCGGAAAGTTGAACATTTCAGTAAATCTCATCAAGGGTTCCGACATCACTGCCCGACCAAAGAGAATGTTTTAAAAAGTAAACACAATTTTTTTTACTATTAATATCCGTGGCAATCACATTATCTAAGAAAGAGTACTTTATGTTTGAGTGGAAACCAACTAGCGCGACAGTCTTCCACAGGTGAATAGCAGGTGCGCCATGGCTCTATAGGCAGCGCGTACATTTCTTTTTCTTGGAGTGTAATGAAGCGTAGCTAGCCTCACTATTTCATTTTCATGTAATTTTCGTTTGCTAACATTTTGCCGCTTTTTATTGCACAGAATTCGTCCTTTTGTGTCACCTCCCTGCTGCATCATTGCCTCCGAGCTCCAAGAGTGGAAAAGATGTGCAGCAGTGCCTTGTGTGTGGTTATACCACGCCTTACGCCCACGTCATGAGGAATCACCACAAAACGCACACGGACGAGCGGCCGTACAAGTGCGCGACCTGCAACAAGGGCTTCAAAAGGAAGGGCCACCTGGATGAGCACCTCTACATTCACTCCGGCAAGAAATCCTTCAAGTGCCACCTCTGTCCTAGTGACTTTGCCCAAAAGACGGGGCTTATGCACCACTTGAAGAAACACAAGGGCTAGGAGCTTTTGACCTGTGATGTTCACATGTGAACTGCTACTGAAGTGTCTGGCATGCATCAATGATTCAGTTGCACCAAGTGCAGGACTATAGATGATAAGACTGGGACTAGCTCGGTTTTTGCCTGAGTGAAATGTGTTGATGGACTACCATAACCAATGATGGAAACACTAGTCATTGAGGTTCTTGAAACTTGTAATGAGTGTTGATATCAATGCTTATGTCTGTAATTATTACTCTTTTCACATTCATCCTAAAGGTTTATCGAATAAAGTCCCTTGTGAGCTACTGGTTTAATCATGCTCAGGATCAGGGGCATAGCCAGAAACTTTTTCCAAAGGGGGAGTTCAATCGCTTTGTATGTATGTTCATGCGTGCATTTGTATGTGTGCATATACAAACCCATGCAAACAAACAATATCGGGGAGATCGATTACCTCGGCTAGGCCACTATTCAGGATTGTGTCAACACGGCCCTTCGAGAACAGAGCATTATTCTTGCTTCAGAAGACAATACATATTGTTTTTCACTCTTACAGTCTCCATGTCATTGGCTTTATCATTTTGGTAGTGATTCAAAGTTCTCTGTTTTTTTAGTTTTATTATGATGTGCTTGAAGAGCCAACTGATGTTTTCTTTCACTTACTTTTCTTCCCAGCAGAAGAGTAGGTTCCCATATGTTTTGATGTCCATTGCTCTGCCTCTTTACACTGTTTTTAGAGAATCCTACAAAAGATAATTGGTTTCTAAGATCAAATTATGATGCCACTCATAGTGCATCTCTAAGATTGCTTTACAGCTCTTCAATCATACCGGTTGCGAAACTTCATTCTGAAATTTCGACATGCCTGGGTAGAACATTGCGGAAGATAGCAAACTGGTGCGCCACCTGGTAGTGGGGACAGAAAACGCATCACATTTTCACAGTCGCTGCAATCATGGCTGTCATTGCATGAGTTGCCATGACAGCAGAATGTACTTTCAAGAAAAGTTGTAGAGTTTTAAGCCTGCTGTAGTATCGGCAATATGTGGGCCACAAGTGTAAACACACTGCTTGCATCATCACTGCTTCATTGCTTCTGACCTTGTTTAGCGCAGTACACAAGAATTCTGTGTATTTGCTTCCTTATCACACAGGTGGTGGTACATTCGGTAGACCTCTGCTATTCAGCCAATAGTATATTCTGATCTTTATTCATGGAGTCCATAGAAAGTTGTGCAGCTTGCATAATTGAAGAACTCTCGGGTGCAGTCTTGTATATGTACTGTGATAGAATGGAACTTCACAAGAGAACGAGAAGAAGCAAACAGCCGATAAGAGAAGGGGAAATGCCCTTGAAGAATGCATGCCGTTTTAATCGTCTACTAGGGGACCATATAATAAATGAAAAAATCTATTCAATGCATTAAAAAATATAGAAATATTATAACTGAATATAGCCTTTTCTTTTTCAAACCTTAGAACTGAACAGTGGGATCACCCAAGTTTTATTTGTGTCTATCTCTTGATTGGGCACTTAATAGAGTTTCGCAAGATGTTCGATGGTGGCCATGGTGGCCATTTTCACAAACTGTCGATGCGGAATCGGATTAATCTTGACACAAAAACATCAAGCCAATTCGCTTCTCTGACCCTAGCGCTTATGTCCGATACAATTCAAGTTGTCCAGATACCATTCTACATCCATTCTGTCAAATGAAACATTGTCTCTAGCTGTTCTTTGCCTAGCAGACAACAAAACGATTGATCGCACTGCCTTTTCCAGTTGCTCGTTTCCCATTTGACTGGCAGATGAGGCTCCAGCAATCTTGTTCAGCACGAGAGAACATTCTATCTCAAAATATGCACAAAATCACACCCCTGGTTCACACGTGCCTGTGCGTCGTGCATGCACAGCAATCTATGTCGTTTTCAGAAATCTCGAAATCAAACATACTGGAGCATAAAATTCTTCGCTTAGGACATACCCGGCTTCAATTTATATTTAAGTCACATCTGATGCTCAATAAGCTGGTAACTCTTAAATATCTTTGCTTTGGCAAATCAGTTTTGCAGATTGACACAATGTGGAAGAAAGTCCATTACACGAGGTGGAAGGAAAGGCATCTTTGAAAAAGGACACACGAGAAGCTGTACTGTGTTCCCTCATCTGCCCTTCTTTCATTTGTGTTGTGCAGTCATGTCTATATTGAATCAACAACTCGCTCAAGCTACCACTTTGAGACAGAGTTTATCTTCATTTTGTGATTGATTCCAGTTCTCTCTTTGATGTAAAAAATTGCTTTGTTTTTATCATGTTTATGATGACTTTCAGTGTTTCTTATGTTGGAGTTACCTGCTGTTTTGCTGGTGTGAGGGACACAATTTGTTATTGTAGTGGTCACAGTGGTGATAATGGTATAAAAGCAAAAAAAAGAATATTTGTTTGTCTCAGAGGCTCCATGACAAGCCTCTTCAGTAGACCCAAGCCTCGGAGCATAGCCTTCAACGGCATCCTTAGTGGAAAGGAACCATCATACTTTTGTGCCACTTTCATAGCAGAATGGCCCACACTGCACCTAACAGCTGCTGAGAAATGGTTCTGTAATGCGGGACACACTCGAGGTTTGACGAGAACATGTTGAGCACTCCTGTTATTTAATGCTGCACGATTCCTAGGGTTCAAAGTACAGAGTTGCCTTTAAACACATCAGAGCATGCAGAACTGATGTGCAGTATTGTCCATTATAATTAGTTTGATCTACAATCCATTTCTGCAGTCACTGATACACGGTTACGATGTTAAAAAAAAAGTGTCAGGTCCGCCAATATTATCTCGACATGTTTGCTCTTGGCCTGTTGAAAACAACCTTGCTAGCTCGTTTTCGCTTGAACTATAAATGCTTTTTTTCAGCTAATGTATATACTGCTCATATTAAGGATTAAAGGTTCATTACTTCTGAAGAGATCAAGTTTAGCTGAGCAATAATATGAAGGTCCCTGACAAATTTATAATGATGTTCAAGTTTTCGGCTTAAGCCAAAGACACACGCATTTATATGAGGAAGTCGACTGCTTGAAACACCAAAGAAGTGCTTGATGTCACAAAAATGAGTAGGTGCTATTGAATGGAGCACTTATGCAAATTCTATATGGTGGGAACCATGATGCCTGTCCTCAGCGCTGCCATACTTGCTTAAGTTGTAATCGAGTCCAGCACTTGTTAGCTAGCAGGTGTAAAAAATGCAGGTAATGTAGAATTTTTCATTCGGTGTGATTTCTGCACCAGATTTATTTGTCTGTTACAGGCACCATCAGAGGACAGCGCATCGCTTATGAACACGGGGATGACTTGTCTGCCACACATGTGGGTCAACAGTTCTCTCCCACTGATGACGGTGCAAGCGGTCCTTGCGCTTCTAAATCTGCGCACGGTGGTGTGTTGTACACTTGTGCTTATTGCAGCAAGACTTTCATGAGGCGTAACAGCCTTAACATCCACCTGCGAATTCACACTGGCGAGAGACCTTTTCGGTGTCAACTGTGCCCTCGAGCCTTCACTCAGAAAGTACACCTCATGGATCACGTACGATCGCACACCGGGGAAAGACCGTTCCAGTGCCACTTTTGTCCAATGGCCTTCGTCCGCAAGTTTCATCGGAAGTACCACGAGCAGTGCAAGCACTTGAAGCGGACTGCTACTACTCCTTGACAGGCCGGCCAGATGTCTGTGACACTTGCCGGTGAGGTTAGCAGTCTTCGCATGAGAGATGTCCTTGCTTGTCTTCAACTGCTATGAAACGCGGTCAGATGTGCTCGGAAGAAAAAAAAATCAATGTGTGGATGTCGTTCAGAATAAATCAACAAGTACTATTTGGAGAGCACTGAAGAGATCGAGATAAAATGGGCATATTTGTTAAGGAAGCGTTTATCAGGTTGTGTGGCAGCCATAGTGAACTTCGAATTGCACGAGAATTGTATTTGTACATTCTGCTTAGCTCCAACTGATCCTTACGAGACTTCAAAATGTTGTTACAAGCCATCACAAACATGAAATAGTAAGTACAACTGACAATGCATTTCAGTCAGATCTACTTAACTGGACCAAGGCTAGTATTCATAAAGAGCACTCCTTCAAAGGACGTTCACGCCCCTTGAAGCTAAAAATTTGACTTCTGGTGTTGATGTCTGATGGTAACGAAACCCACGTGCTCAAACGATGTCACATCTCACCCTCAAATTTCTTGTGGCCCACCCTCAATATTGTATTTGTGCTATTTGAAAATTGAATAAGCATCTTATCCGCTCTCATTGGCTTTGCCTAATCAAAGCACATCACCAAGTGATTCTGTCATGGGACCAAGTAAAGAAATGGTGTCGAAAAGGGCACGTAACTGTGTGATGATGTCATGTTGCAACGTCACGTGACGTGAATGTTGCAGTGGTATGAACATTGGCAAAGTACACATGTCCACATAACTCACACCCTCATCACATGCTCCAGTCTGCATCTGTTTGCGCTCCTCGCGTCTTTCATGTTTAATGCGCATGAGGAGACGTAAGTGCCTCAGTAACTTGTTACTTTGCTATGCTATTTGCTGTGTCATGTTCTAGCTGGCGAAAGCACAGAGACAAAAGTGGCACTTAAGCAGGGAAACACGCTTGCTCTCAACAACCATTTACTTCAGAAATGGTGCGAGATATACAGCCAGGCAGGGGCTATCCTGCAAGGGACTAATACTAGAACATTTATGTTGGGTGTCACCAGCAGCAGTTATTGAGATTATCTCTACCATGTTGGTCATGTACATGCTGATCGGTGGGCACCAGCACAAAAAAAAAAGAAAAAAAAAAAAAAAAACACGTTTGCTTTCAACTCTGCCTATTTATGTGTCTGCTTGTTAGAACTCTGTTAGAACTGGCACTCTGTGTGTGTGTGTGCGTGCGCGTGTGTGTTTGTTTGTGTGTGTGTCCCTTTGTCAATGTCTTTGTCAATGTTTATATGTTACTTGGCCTTTTGCATGGATGCATTGACTCGGGAATGGCTTCAACCCTGTCATCGTAGAATTGTGGAAGAAATAGTGTTTTAATCAGTTCCCACAAATAATGTAAAAACTGATTGTTTGAGAGGACATTCAAGTGTTCTTGCAGTTTTGATGCCATTTAAAGAAAAATTGATGCCTTCTGTAATAACGCACCACACTCACAGTATAAATTTTTGCACTTGTGTATATTTTATGGTTGGCCTCACTGTCTGACACCCAAGTGACAGAGGTTTATTTAGTGATCTTGCATCATGGTTATCTGAACTTGTCAAATTGCATCATAACATTTGTTGACAAAGATCTACATCTCAGCTGATTTGTATTGTTTCTCTGCAGAGCTACCTGCTTTTTATTTTGCGTACAAAGGAAGGACACACAATAGACACAATAAAACAGGCAATGACTTACACTTCTATCAACCATGTACTATAATATGCATATACAAGGTGTCCCAGATGTAGGGCACCAGGTTTTTAAAAAAGCATGACAGCGTTATGCCCAGCAACTTAGTGCTTGTAAGGATTCATGCAAGAGACAACGCCCGTACTCTAGGCCTGCTAGTCTTGTTCACCCTCTGCTTCGCTCCCCACATGCCCCAACTCTGGTATCGCTCTTCGTCACCACATACTATATATGTTGTTCTTAGTAGAGTGAAGTAGCCGCTAGTTAGTGTTTTCATTGATGATGTTCAATTAGTTAATTATAATGAATTTAAAAAGTCATAAAGTACCCAAATAAAGTGTAAGTTGATGAGGTCTATATAAGCATATTTAAGCAATATCTAACTGCAATACTTTCAGTAATTTATTAATTGTGCACTCATTTTTTCCAGCTGAACAAGAAAGCCTGCAAATATGAAAATGCCACGTGCATCAAGAAGCAGAGCCCTCTGACATGCTTTCTGCGAGGTTGCCAGTGTAACGGGAAAAATGCAGAAGTGGAAAACATTTTTTTTTTTCTAAGCCAGTTGTACTGCAAAGCGCAGCTGTACGAACTACGAGTATTGATTTGCCTGTGTTTCTCATGTGTTTAGCTAGTTTATTTGCTCTTTTCTGTCATTTTGTGTTGTCTATTTTCTGTTATTTGATGCTGGTATTCGTGGGAAAGCACGTGCTGGTATGAAACGTGGTACTTGCATGACCAATGCTAGACATGAGGTAACAACACGGAGGTCTGTTAAACTGCTCTGCAATTAAGAAAATATCACCCTGGCTCTTCATGTACCACTTCCATGATGAAGCACCGTGTCGCTTTGGTCTTCCCAAGTCAGGCAATAGTCAGAGCAGCGGTCAGGCTGCGCTATCAGAAAGATCAGCTGTCCATGAAATATGGATAACGACAGTGACATGAAATCGAGGGTAAGGAATTCTTCTAAAATGATGACACATTCTGTTGCTGATCAACTCGCAGCGCAGTTGCTTGCGAAGAGCTTATTTGAGGGCGGTACTTTGTTATGCGGCTGGGAGTGTAGTCACATGGTATTTATCATGTTTCATGGGCTTTATGTGCTTAAAAACAATGAGAACTCAATATGTTGCTAATAATGATGCATTTGTCTCCTAAATACGCCTACATGATATATGCTTCAGTAACATTTTAATAAATATGTGAGTACCTGTCGAGTTACTAATGAAATCTCGTCAATTAAAAGCTTACTGGTGTCTATTTCTGTATGTTGGAAACAAACATGCACAAATTTTTCCTCACATAACTCAGTTTTTATTTAGAATGCATCGTCACTATTATTGGGGAAGGGGACAGCGGAGTTAAAGAAAGTGGAAAGAAGAGGCCATTTTCTCATGGAATTAATACCCACAGCACTGAGTGTTGGATCGAGACACCTTTCTTTCCATTAGAAAATCAGTGTAGCCTGTGGAATTAGGAATCGTACCCAGTACTTTCTGGATTAGAAGCGGATGCTCCAACCTTGTTCTTTTAATGTGCTTGTTCTTTTAATGATTTCATCTTCCATTTGTCACTCTCACATCCATCCTACCCCTGTGCAATGTGCGTATTCCGGCTGGGCTCACTGTCTTGCACCGCATCAATATAAGCTGAAAATGCATCACTTTGCCTGCGCAGGCCTGGTCGCCGTACGTCATCACCCTGGCTACAGGAAAAAAGAACATGTGCAGCAGTGTCACGTGTGTGGCTATTCCACGACCAACAGGAGAGACTTTCGAAAACATGGAATAATACACACGGGCAAGAGCCAATTCAAATGTGACCAATGTGGCAGAGCCTTCAACCGCAAGGACAACCTGAAAGAGCACGCTCGCCTCCACTCTGGGGAGAGACCTTTCCGTTGCCACCTCTGTCCCAGTGACTTTACGCAGAAGTCGGGCCTTGCACACCACTTGCGTACTCACAGACGTGGGAAGCTTCTCGCTGATAGGGTTCAATTGTGACAGAAAAGTGTGAGAGATGTGCACCCATACCTCGGTGAAACCTGCCAGTGACCCACTTGAAAGACTGAAAGGACATGCACGATGGCAGGACAGATGCTAGTGGGCTGTGGAACTTCTTGGTGTTTGTAATGAATGTTGAAAAGCACACCAACATGTGAATTTGGTTATGTGCCACATGTGTGTGGTACGTGCATGCCATTATCTACTCCTATTCACGTGTTGATATCTCTAGATGTATTGAATAAAATGATGGCTGAAGTACTTGTTCGGTAATGTTTAGGTCTGAGTCGATGCAAGGCTCTGATAACAAACCTTTTTACGTTTTGCTGCCAAACCACGTATACATCATTATTCTCACAAGCCCTGTTTGTGTGATAGACTGGCTTTGTGATTTGGTTCAAAAAAGAAAGGCCTTTATTTTTCTGTGATTGCTTTCTCGTAGCAGTTAATGTAACTATGGTGCACCTCATGGGCACATTTTTCGGTATGATTGAGTAGCTTATGACACGTTATGATGTCTAATGCTAAGTTTCCTAGATAAGGTGGTCCCTTGATCACGTTTTTGTTATCACATTGTCAAAACATGCTATGCTCAAAGAAAGGGGACACACTCCATGATATCCAAACTGGACACCCACATTGCTATTGTCTTCAACTCATGCAGCCTATCAGCATAAGGGTCTGCCTGGTTTTGGAAGATGATGAGTGCAGCCTTGTTTTGTGACAGGAAAGCTCCGCAGATTAAAGGGAAAAGTAAGCTTAAACTTGCAGTCATCGTTTCTCGTCATATTATTACCTTGAAAATGTCCTATTAGAATAACGAAACTAAATGCTCAAGAAGATGAAAAATTCTAGAACGGAGGTGCTGCTGGAGCCAGCGATTAAACAGGCAGACTTGTCTTTGATAGGGCTCCTACTGCTTTCCACAGCTCTGTGTATGTGCACACCTTCACTGCTCTCTCCCAACGACAAAAGGGAAGTTGGAGAAGAGAGCAAATGTCAAGAAAAAGGAAGAAAGATAATCTACTGGAGAGCTATTGTATTATTTTGGCTTGTCATAGCAGCAGTGTAAGTGGGGGAAAATAGTCCTAAATAAAAGAAGGACAACAACCAGAGTGAGGGGTGGGGAAAGAGAGTCTCCGGGAATGTACAAGGGCTTTGTTGGCATGAATGGGTAAGTGGCGAGGGCAGGGAAAAAAAGGGCTTTACACTGCGTTATAAATCAGATGTGGGTCAAGAAAATTGTACTATTGTATTTCACCAAAACCGCGCACATCGCATACGAGCAGCAATTGAACCTTACATTTACCGGGTCAGAATAGTTAACAATGCTTAGAAAAGCACCTGCTATGTCGAATAGTTTCTAGAGTGCCCTTTGAAACATTTGGGCCCATTGACTGGAGTTTATTGAATTTATAAGTTAGGTACAACTGTGTTTTCTCTCTATCTCTCGGAGACTGAAAATTTGAAGTATTGAGTTAATCAATGTTGTCGCCTTCCACATTGAAGTGCTGCTCTACTGCTTTGAGCAAATTATTCTCTTCGTCCACATGATGCCCTGATACTGATTGTTTGCTTATCTATCGCTTGTGACTAAGTGAATATTCGGGCATGTTAGTAATGTTTGAACGAGTGCAGGTAAGACTAAATTTTACACGACGGGCACAATCTCTTCTGTTGTTTTTTTTGTAACTATAGGACATAGTTCTTACATTTTAGTGAGAACAAGCTGTTACTTGGGAGAACAGCTACCTAATTGTTTTCGTTCAAAATGCGAGACTGGTCCTGTTAGACAAACCAGTGTGCGCACGGCAATACTCGGTGCCTCCCACTTTACAGGTGTATGCTCAAACTGAATGAACGTCAAACAAATTCATGAAAGATGAGTTCAGGAGGGCCATTTGCCCCTTCCACCACCATCCAGTAACACCAGTATTGTGAGTGTAGAGGTGGAAGCCACCCTTCCAGTGGTCAATAAGTTAGACCATTTGGCCTCTTCTGTAGAAAATGCAACCATGCTAGGTCAGATTCTTGGTGCTACTGTCCCTCCATTGGCTTTTTTGATGAAGAAAAAGGAACCGCTGCCTGGCGCACGGTATTGTGCAGATTCTCTCAGAGGTGTTTTTAATTTTCACTCTTTCCCTCCGCATGTTCCTTATGTCAAAAATACTGGGCCAAGCGTTCAAGGCTTGCGGAAATGAGCGTCTTGGCTTTTCTTAAACCACGGTAGGTAAGTGTTGCGAGTTTGTGGAGCGATAACTCCACCAATCCAGGTGGAAACCCTGTAAACGCATACTTTGTTTCGTGAACTTGACTACTGAGCACATTCAAGATCATTCCACCTACTATATTCCAAGCACCTTGCCTGTCATCGAAATGACAGCCAAAAAGCTTCAGTGAAACTCTAGTCAGGCAATTTTCGTGAAAAATAATGGGTGAAGATCAGGCTTTGAAGCCACTATCGCCAAAGGTGCCGGCTGCACCCAAGTTTGCTGTGTTCATGCTTACAGGCCAATGGCACATAGCTGTTCACATGTAGTCTGTGGGCAACATAAGTAGCTGTCTGGCAGCCAAGGCAAGCATGAAAGCAAGGCTATCACTCGACAAAGCTGGTTTAAACGTGTTCAACCACGACACTTCTTCGCTTCGCTGCATGAGCACTTTCTCCGCATGTAAGCACTAATTGGCAGTAGTGTTCGCACCTTCACCAGCCTCCAGAGTTGTGGAGCGTTTCACACGTTCACAACCTCAGCGCCCCATTAATGAACTGATGGGGCTTTATCTACGGCACTGCAAGACCGATCTGCCATCTGTCTGTGGACCAGAGGCCCTACTTTTCGGGCCACAAGCAAGGGTACACACTCAAGCACCAGGCCATCATGGGCGCCAACGTAATCGTGTGCGAAGTCGCTTCAGTGCAAGTCGAAAGTGAGGCCACATATATCAGACGCTAAACCAATATATTTTCAAAAACACCTAGTATTTTAAATCTTCTGGAATATCAAGACGTCTATTACTGTTTGCACACATTTCGAGAAGTTTTGCAGAGGTTTAGTGTTTCGTGGGCTTGACAGCCCATACCCTAGCAGTAGACACGATGCTGGTAAGTTTAGGTCTCTTGCTTCCCTAGCACGGAAACTTTGCAGTAAGGTTTACACATGGTACAATAACAAGTTGCAGCTTTAGTACTCTACACAACAGGTCCACACTGTGTAATGAGCTTCAATAAGAAGCCTTTGTACAATGGCGAAAATACCTGTGTGCAGTTTTACTTCCTCGTCCATAAAAGCCCGTTTATGCAATAACGTATCAGCAGTTATACAGCTTCAACAATGCTTGTAGCAAGAGTTTTTGTGATGAACTGTGTGTCACGCAGCACTACAATTACTTTCATAATGTTCTTATCTGCTGGTGGAAAGCGTTGGTTATCTGCACACAAATGTGCAATCAATTTTTTCCTCAACGAGAGGACCTGTGAACCCCAGAAACACCTCAGAGCATTAGGCCTGCCAGAACGAGACCCTCACTATGAATGAAGGAAGGAGGGTGAATTTAAAGGCCCATTTTCTTTGTTAAGAACAGCATTCAATGCCTTCAGATGGTGTGCGAGGAATTATTGATCACCTGCCAGCTCGTAATAAGATCACGTGCTGCGTGATGCCAACAGGCAAAAAATGAGTGTTCCAGACTCGCCACAATGGCAACAGGCGGTGCTGACTGACGCTCCCATGTTTAACCTGATAAAGTGTACAGAAAGATAGCCGTCGTGATAGCCCAGTCAGTAGAGCATTGGACGAGTTACGCGAAGGTTGCAGGTTGGGTCCCTGCCCACGGCAAGCTATTTTTTCGTCTACATTTCTTTCTCCAAAGTTACATTACAAAGACTTCCAATAACATCCCCTAAACTATCCTTGGCCTAATTATTTGTCAGTTCTCATTAAGATGGTATCTAAGATACATGTGTGTTCGATACTGCCCAGCCCTGCTCACCACATATATCTTTTCGGTCATACACTGTAGCTATGGAAGTTAATGGAATAGTGAATTTCGCTGCAGTTTGCACAAACTTCAAGTTGAATGGTCACAGCAATGTGCTGAGAAATGGGATTAATCGCAGCAAAATTGGTGCATTTGAGAAACGTACGACACACACCATTAGAAAACGTTCGTCACGTAGTCTACTGCGCTTTCTTGTCCTTCCAGAAGAATGAAAAGCCGCGACAGGGAACAAAGAGAACTCAGGCAAGAGACGGCACAATCAATATGTTCATTTCTGAAGTTTTTCGACAAGCAGCTGCCAGAACATTCGTGAGCAACTGGTTTTGTTGCTGCAGCATAGCTCTCTCTTGGCGACGCTCCTCGTGCGCCTCTCGAGACTCGTGCACTCGCCGCAAGTGGGCGTCTCTGTCGAGCTGCAGCTGCTGCTCTTGAAGGGCCAGGCGCCTTTCCTCAAGGTCAAGCCGCCTGTCTTCTTGTGCTGCCACTCTTTCATTATGTTGAGCCTCCAAGGCGAGCCTTCTCTCGAAGAACCTGATGTGGCGGTCGGATCCGCGCCTTTTTCCTGCTATCATTGCACAACAGGACATGGCATTACTTGTGTGCCTATATATATTTTTTTTCAATTGCAAAGTAATATTTGCTTTTTGTGGTGGAGGTTGCATTTCAGTGCGCACATTTCATCCAATACATATTTGCAGTTCCGTTTTGTCTAGAGTCAAAAGAAGCACTGCAGTCGTTGATTTGCTTATTTTGCTAACTATTTTGCCATGTGCGTATTCTGTACTGCTCCACACTTGTGAACATGAGATGTACCTTGCTCGTTATGTCTCCTAGATTATTTATCTGGCATTATCACCGCACTTTTCATGGCAGGTTTCCTTAGGCTTGACGTTTACGTTTCAAAGCTCACGTGTACTGGGGGGAGCCCGACTTTAAGGGATGTGCATGTCTTTTGTGCGATTGATATTGCGCTGTGCTCCTTCGTTTTGGCAGGTAAAAGTGTTTGTTAGTGAGCACTACTCAATCTTGCTTAGGTATATTTATGTGTTATATTATGCAAGCAAAAAAAAAAAAATCTTTTCACCACAGCCATGACTGTTAGTTCTTAGTGTGTGGTAAAGTATTCAGGAAAGGATGGGCATATGGCACACTTTCTGTAACCTTCAAAGTGCGTGCCTGACAAATCTGTTCATTTGGTAACAGTCACAATACAACTTCAGGAGCCCATAGAGGCACTGGCCAAAAGACGTAAGTGTGGCAGCTTAATGCCTTCGCAACTAAACAAGCAGTCTTGTGCATGCACTCATCATGATTCTGCATTGACTGGGTCACCAGCCACCCAGAACATGATGTTACTCTGATGCATGCATTCATTTGGGCAGGCTCTTGTGCTTTTGCCTTTGAGGAAAGAGTGGTGCAGACTTTTAAGATCGTATCCGCACGACTACAGTTATTTTTTGTATTGCACACTACTCCAACCAATTCGCTTGTGTTTTTTTGTACTTTGACTATCTTTTCAAGCTACTGTGTTACAGCATATTCACTTGAATTTGTCGCTGCCCTAGTTGTTACACGCAACCTACCCCTTTCTTTCCTTGGTGTGCTCTCTGCAGCGCTAACCCCGGCTCCTTGCACTGCTCCCTCCGCTGCTGTTTGTGCAGTGCTTGTCTGGTTGTTGTCTACTTCCGCCTTGGAGGCAGGGGATCGTGGCGAGTCCGCAACCACCTCTGAAGTTCCCTCAGGCAGCCCAGTGATGACTTCTACCGTGTCAAACACCGTTTTGGACCCTAAATGAAATGATAGAGGTTGAGAAAATTTCACTTGACACATTTTTTTTTTCTAGTATGTCACAAATAATTCACGACATGCCCACTCATTACAATTTTCAGATATTCCACATTTTAACTACTACTACTACAAAAAAACTGCCCTTACACAGCTATGATGAAGCAGTGTTAAAAAAGCTGTAACGAGGGCAGTGGGCATGGAGCTTGAGTACAGAAAAGGAAGAAGACTTGCTGTGATCACAGGCTTGTGTTCAGTTAGCCCTTGCGCTAAATAAAGCTTTCGTTCGCTGAGTCAACTCCTGCTGGTTCAACACCCCGTTTCAAGTGATGGAAGTGCTAGCATACATCTGGTCCTCACTCTGGAACTTCGCAGCCGCACACTCCAACCACCTTCTGCAATGACTGATCCGGGACCGTCTCAGGCCGCCACTCCAGGTCTCGCACCCATACCTGTCTTCTGCGCTGGCGCTCTCCGGCAGCGCAACCCCCCCATATTTGGTGGCACAGAGGACCAAGATGTGGACAACTGGATTGCCAAATTAACTGGTAAGCGCGTACAATAAGTGGAACGCAGCCGATAAGCTCACAAATGTGAGTTTTTACCTGACCGATGTGGCGAAACTATGGTACAGGAATCATCAAAGTGATTTCAGTACCTGGTCGGAATTGGCAAAAACCCTCTCTGAAGTCTTTGGACGTCCTGCTGTCCGCCGCCTTCGTGCTGAACAGCGCTTGCATGGCAGAGAACAGAGACTTTCACGAGCTACATTGAAGATGTGCTCTTCCTCTGCCAGCTCGTCAACCCAACTCTGGGTGAGGCAGGCAAGATAAAAAACATCATAAAAGGAATCGACGACAGTGCATTCCAAATGCTTGCTGCGAAGTGTCCCCAGAAGGTCGCCGAGGTGATTCAGCTTTGCCTAAGTTATGATGAGCAGCGTAGGCAACGTGCTTCCACACGTTGCGCTGCTCAAGACACGGCGGATCTCTCATTCCTCGACTATCGCCATGACACTGCCAACCACTCTGCTTTAATGCCACTCATAAAGCAATTCATACGCGAGGAGGTCGCCCTGGCAGCTATCTATATACACCAGAACTACCGAGCCGATGGCACCCTTATCGCCTTCGCTTCGTCAGGTCATTGAATCGCAAGTTGCCGAAGCATTGCCGCCAGGTCAGGCTCCACCATCTGTTACCGCACCACTAACATATGCAGCCGCTGTTGCTCGGCCACGCGCTCCATCGTCTCCGGCTATCTACGAAGCAACTCACCACGTTTATTCGTCGACGCCACCTGCCTGCCCGTTGACTGTCTCGTCTCCGGCTGTATACGAAACAACTCGGAACGTTTATATGAAGCCGCCGCCTGCACGACCGTTTCCGGTACCTTATTCAGCGACAAGTGCCCCTACCCCCAGCCAATGGCGCACTCTGGATAATCGGCCAATATGTTTTTCATGTGGCATACCAGGCCACATAGCTCGTCACTGCCGCTGTCGCAGCTTCCCTTCTCATGACATTGCACGGGTCCTCACACTTCATGCCCACTCAGCCGCGATATCCCGTTCCTGCCGATCCACCTCTAGACGTACGTACCGGTCGCCGACCATCCGGCGCAAGCCGTTCGCCTTCTCCTCGTCGCAGATCAATTTCTCCAATGTTACGTCGCAACAGCCCACCGCGAGGGGAAAACTGACGGGCGCAGTTCCGGACGCAAGAACTGCGTTGGCAGCAAAAATTTCAAGACCTAACTGCTGTCCCCCGAACGAAATTGAACTCTATATTGATGGCATTAAGATGCACGGACTTGTTGACACTGAAGCTGCCGTATCTGTAATTAGCGAGAAACTGTGCCGAAACTTGAAGAAAGTGACCACGCAACTTACCGACCTATCTTTGCAGACAGCTACTGTCCTATCATATTCAGCCTTCAGCTTTGTGCACTGCACGAGTCGTCATTCAAGGTGCGATGTACGTCGTCACATTTGTAGTTTTATTCCGTTCTTCGCATGTGTTATCCTTGGATGGGACTTTCTCTTGTCAAATTCTGCTTTGGTCGACTGTGCTCGTTCCGAACTCGCATTATCTGTGCCGTGCTATAACCCCGACGATGGCGCTTCGTGTAGAGTGTTTGCTGCTTCTGACGTTGACATTGCGCCTTTCTCAGCTGTTGTCTCGGTGTCGTGTGTCTCCTCTCCGAAATCGCCTGTGTTGTTTATGCCATCGATCCCATCTGCGTGCCATCGAAATATCATGCTTCCGTTTGCTGTCGTCGTTTTTCGCAACGGTCACGCTGCCATTTATGTGTGCAATCCCTCGGACAGCCCGTCATCCCTACTACGTGGAGAATGCCTGGAGAGCTACGAACCTTACGAGTGCATTCTTCCGGCAACTATATTTGATTCTACGGTTTCGCTCCCAATTTGTGCTGTCACTCCTACCAACACGCCTAATGATGTTCTCGACGTATTCTCGGATGCCATCGACTCTGAGCTCGCACCAACTCAGCGCGAGGAGATTATAAATCTTCTACTTCGCTTTCGCTCTTCATTCGATCATGACCAGTCAGGCTTAGGCCGAACCTCTGCGGTCGTTCACCGTATTGACACCGGTCAACAAGCCCCGCTAAGACAGCGTCCGTACCGTGTGTCATCTGCTGAACGCCATGTCATCAACGAACAAGTGGACCACATGTTGAAACGGGGCATCATCGAGCCCTCCAACAGTCCCTGGGCTTCACCGGTTGTTCTCGTCAAGAAAAAAAGATGGATCCATCCAGTTCTGCGTTGACTACCGCCGAATCAACAAGATAACGCGCAAAGACGTATACTCTCTGCCGCGCATTGATAATGCTCTGGACTGCCTACAAGGTGCAGAATTCTTTTCTTCGTTAGATTTACGCTCCGGCTACTGGCAGGTGCCCATGGCAGAGGGTGACCGCCCGAAGACAGCCTTTGTAACACCGGATGGACTATATGAATTCACCGTTATGCCGATTGGCCTCTGCAATGCGCCTGCCACTTTCAAAAAAATGATGGATACCATCTTGCGAGGTCTGAAATGGAAAATGTGCCTCTGTTATTTGGATGACATTTTGGTATTTTCAAGCGACTTTGCGACCCACCTCAGCCGCCTCGAGCAAGTTCTTACGTGCCTTTCCACGGCGGGACTTCAACTTAACTTGAAGAAATGCCACTTTGGCGCTCACAAGCTTGTAATTCTCAGCCATGTAGTTTACTAAGGACGGCATTCTCCCGGACCCTACGAAACTTAATGCAGTCGTGGCGTTCCCAAAGCCAACCACCATCAAAGAGCTTCGAAGCTTCATCGGACCTATGTTCTTACTTCTGGCGCTATGTCCGCAAGGATGGCTTTGACGAGTATGTCGTTGCCTATGCCAGCCGCACCCTCAGTAAAGCGAGAAGAATTACAGTGTAACTGATAAGGAGTTCCTTGCCATTATTTGGGCAATCGGAAAATTTCGGCCTTATTTATATGGACGTCCGTTTGATATTGTAACAGACCACCATGCGCTTTGCTGGTTATCTTCACTAAAAGATCCTAATGATCGGCTCGCTCATTGGGCATTGCGGTTACAGGAGTTCGATATCCGTGTTATCTACCGTTCTGGCCGGAAGCATTCCGAGGCCGATGCCCTGTCACGTTCGCCATTGGCTTCAGAGCCTGTCGGCTCGCCTATCTCCACCAGTGCTGCCTTGGCCATCAGCATTTCGGACATGCCTTCCGAGCAACGCAAAGATGCTTGGATTTCTTCTCTTTTGGACTTGCTCTCAAACCAGACGCCCGCTCCAGTTTTCAGGACGCTTCGCCGTCAAGCAGGACACTTCGCTATTCGGGATAACCTGCTTTACCGCCGAAACTACAGCTCGATGGGCCGTAAGTGGTTGCTCGTCATTCCCCGACATCTGCGCTCTGACATCTGTGCCACGTTCCACGGTGATCCGCAATGTGGCCACGCTGGTGTGTTAAAAACATACACTCACTTGCAGCTGCGGTACTACTGGCGCGGTATGTACCGTTTCGTTCACCGTTACGTAAGGTCTTGCCTTACGTGCCAGCGACGCAAAATGCCCACTCAGCATGCCACAGGTCACTTGCAGCCGTTGCCATGTCCAGCACGAGCTTTCGATCGTGTCGGAATCGACCTTTATGGTCCGCTTCCCTATACTTCGAGTAGCAACCGCTGGGTCATTGTCGCTATCGACCACCTAACGCGGTACACTGAAGAAGCTGCGTTACCTTCTGCTACCGCAAAAGACGTTGCATGTTTTATACTGCAAAACCTGGTTTTAAGGCATGGAGCACCTGGAGAGTTACTAAGCGACCGCGGCTGCGTTTTTCTCTCCGATGCCATCAAAGCGTTGTTGAGCGAGTGTCGCATCATACACCGCACTACCACAGCCTATCATCCGCAAACTAATGGGATGACAAAGCGTTTTAATCGTACACTTGGGGATATGCTGGCCAAGTACGCTTCATTCGACCAGTCAAATTGGGATAGCATACTGCCTTTTGTGACATATGCTTACAACACTGCAACGCAAAGCACCACTGGATTTTCGCCTTTCTTTCTTCTTTATGGACACGAGCCATCATCAACAATGGATACTATTCTTCCTTATCGACCGGACCCTTCAGAGATGACTACCGTTTCTCGAGCAGCAGCACGCGCTGGAGAATGTCGGAAGCTTGCTCGTGCGTTCACGTCACATGACCAGACGTGCCAAAAACATCGCCTCGACGCATCAACCACGCCTATGAGCTTTGCTCCGAACTCACTGGTGTGGTTATGGATTCCTTCTACTCCTACAGGACTCTCCGACAAGCTTTCGTCCAGGTACCATGGCCCTTATCGAGTTGTACGCCAAACATCCCCTGTCAACTACCTGGTCGAGCCGCTGGATGCATCTCCGGACAAGCGCCGTCGGGGACAAAAATCGTACACATCTCTCGGCTCAAGCCATACCATGACCCTTCTGTGTACCCCTGTACTTAGGTCGCCAGGATGGCTCCCTCATCGCCCGGGGGAGATTGTAACGAGGGCAGTGGGCATGGAGCTCGAGTACAGAAAAGGAAGAAGACTTGCTGTGATCGCAAGATTGTGTTCAGTTAGCCCTTGCGCTAAATAAAGCTTTCGTTCGCCAAGTCAACTCCTGCTGGTTGAACACCCCGTTTCAAGGCATAAAATGTACACAACTGTGCAACCAATAACGGGAAGCCAACCACATGGTGCACATAGGCCTTGCCTCTTTCAAGGCTTATGTGCACAATGATTCAAGAGTAAATATTACGGGTCTCACGCTCAGGCGCAACGTCACGAACTACAGATACACTCTGTTCACTTCTATTTTTGAAAAAATTACGTCTTCATTAGGTGAACAATGCCTTTCGCTTGTGGGAAATATTAACAAGAAAATTATGCTTACTAGCAATGCATTTTTTTCTTCACATTAAACTATTAGTGTCGATGTTTCTTTTTGTTCTCATAGTCTCTAACTTTCCTCCATGAATGTGTCTGATATGACATGCATAGTTTAGTATATCACAAACATTCATTTGTCCATTTATTGTCTTTTATTGCAATATCCCGCTTGTCTAATCTGCCATCACATGTAAAACTGTTGTTCATTGGACATGCAAACTTGCTGCTCTCTATATTTTGCTTTCTTGTTATTGAGTTAAGATCCTCAACACACAAAACTGGTAAACTGAAATCGAGCTACAGAACAAAGAAGGTTTTCGCACATGCAGTGACATTTGTAGGCTTGCCCTTGTGTTAATGAACACTGCTTGGCTCTATGGTCAAATTACCAGTAAAAAGTAACAGTGTTACAGTTACCCAAGCCAAAGAAGTAACTCTGTTACAGTTACTGTAAAAAAGTTTCAAAAATTAACTTGTTACAGTTAGTGACTGTAAGAAAGCGATGTCATTACTCTTTTGTTACCGTACAAAGCAAGGCATAGATTACATGTTAAATGATAGAATTAGTTTAATGAAAACTGCATGAAGTATGGAAAGCAAACATTGAGTGAAGATGAAGTCTATTGACCATTGATGTTCATTCTCTATGTTCCTCAAGGTGTACTAGACCTGTTCGAAGAGTTTTACATCTGCTAAGCGTACAAACCATTGGGCCACGCTTCTGCGCCACAAAGACCACACACCTTCAGTGCAGGACCATCTCTATCTGCGACGCAGGGATTGTGAAGCGACATAGTTACATCAGCGAAACGGGCAGCAAAAGGTCGAAAAAGGACTACTAAAGGAAAGGTTCTTAAACGGCAGGAGCGTAGCCAGAAATATTTTCTCGGGAGGGGGGTGTTCAACAATACCCTATGTACGTTTGTGCCTGAATTTGTACGTGTGCATGTATATATATACAAACGAAATTGAAAAATATTGAGGGGTTTGCAAGCCCCTCCCCCAACCTGGCTTCGCCCATGTTAGAGCTTGTTCAACATTGGTCAGCACATAGCTTTGACCTAAGCAATGCAATGACACTGCCTCATGAAAGGAAGCGTTACTAGAGGGGGGAGGAAGAACTGGAAATGATTGCAACGTCCTTTCTGACTGCAGGACTCATCAACACCCGCACATTTTTTTATTTATTTGTTACCACTGTGCTTTGAGGATGCTACCCCGCATGGGACGTGAAACGTTTGCCATATTGTAAATAACTGTTGTAGACCTATGAAAATCAGTTATACAGTTTTTAGATATTGCTTCGCCAGTTCATGACCTTTCTGCCTTTCAGCCGTTTTGTCTTGATATCTAGTCACCTGTTAAACACGATTATGTAAATGCCTTGGATGAAGGAATGCACCCTCAGCACACAGAACAGAGCTAAAACCTTAAGCGACAAAAATTATATATATATATACATGTGCCCCCCTTCGATTCAGTTCTAATGTGATTGATTTGTGGCATGCAGTTAACAAGTAAGCCCCAAGTATGGTCTTCTGCACCGGAGCTGTTCCTCCTAGCGACACCTAAACTGTGAGGGAAGCCCTATTGTGGAAAGTAAATTTAAAGGACATGGTATAGAAAAGTTCCAATAAGTAAAAAAAAAAACATTTAACATAGGCCTCTATTGAGTGTTGCAGTTAATTATTTTTTATAGAAACAAAAGTAACAGTGTTGCAGTTACAAGTTCATCTAAATTAAAAGTAACTGGTTACAGTTACGAGATACTGAAAAAAAGTAACTGGTTATAACGCATTGCTCGTACTTAGTCACTGCTCAAGACTGCTCTATAGTATATATATATATATATATATATATATATATATATATATATATATATATTAGAAAGAACAAAAAAAAATTCATTTCAAACGCACTCGTTTTCGCAGACCGCTTATGTTACCTTTAGTATAAGGACGCCTAATGTTGCAATTTCTACCTCCGCAACGTGATTGAAACGGAAAGCATTTTTCTCCGTGCGTTCACTGCATAAGACGGCACCACAAAGCCACGTCTCCAAGCGCCCCTGCAACTGCGGGAAACTTGCTCGAATTCGCAACGGACAATTATTCAATCAATAATCGTCGAACTTACACACGTTCGGCTCTCCAGAGCCGGTGTTGCTGTCGTCGTCCGTGGCGACGCTTGCGGCTGCCGGAGCCTGGCAGATCGAAGCACTGCCACTCGCCACCTTCCTTACAGCGCCAGGGCGGATACGGTAACCGTGCTTTCTGGCGACTTGGAGAACGTCTAGCAGAAGATTCTCCTTCTGGCGGTGTTGTTCTTCTGTGCCGGACCTGCGCAAGTTGCGCGTTCAGCTCTGAACCGCCCAAAACAGTGTCGGGAATCGCGCTACATACGGCTCAAACGAATAGCGCACTTACTTTCTGAGGCTGGCCCGGTCATCCTGGACGAACCGGGCGAGCAGAAGATCGCACCGTTCTCTGATGGCGCGCGCGCTGATCGCTTTTCCGACGGTCCGGGACAGGTTTTCGGCCACAGGCAGCCACAGCGTCGTGTCCTTGTACGGGTTCCGTTTTCGGACCTCGCGCAACATGTTAATGTCCGTTTCGACCGTGAAACGAAAACGCCTAGCCGCTGCCTGCATCTCTACGAAGTCGGTTTCGCTGCGTTTCGCGATTCAAACTGCAGCGACTTCCCGCTCTGCTCGTCTTGGCCCTGGCTAAAGCTATCTTGTGATATCCCGCGGCGCGCGTAAGGTTCCTCACCAAAATAAGGAAACTCTATGGAGGCGCGCGATCTTCTCGAGATCACCGCAAAGCATGCCGCAAAGGAAACGACGCGGCATGCGCCACGGGAAACGCTAACGGCGGTTAGCGTTATGACGCATGCGCAGTGGCAACAACCGCAACAAATACAGTTTTAATAACTCTATATATAGCATACGCAAAGCTTTGAGCACGTTATTTTAAAACTTTTTAATAAATTTATTAAGAGTTCAAATTTGTTTTAAAGTGTTTAGTGATATGTTTGTATCGTAGCTCTACGAGTGATTTGAAGCTCCATCGCCATTAGCAGCAGCAAATGTTTAGTTTTTAGCGCGTAACATGTAGGCGTTCAGTCACAGAACACCTACCAGTCGTGTAACCCGCGTAGAAAGGGCGTCCTTTCTCGTCTTTTATCCCGCAACACGTAGTCGAGAAAGCTGGTGAGATGCGCTCAACATGTTTGCTCATTAAGTTCATTAAATCTCAATATAGCAACGCGAAACGACAGCCACACAGGAGAAAAAAAAAAAAAAAAAGATGAGACACAAGACGTCAGTACGCATTGATTCCAACTCTCCAACTTCCTACCTTAATCCGCTGCATGTACTCAACATTACAATTGTAGCGTTGTTCACCTGAAGTTTTTATATCTGCTCTACATTCGTTTTTTTGCAAATGTCTCAACCTTTTACATTGGCCAGCAGGTGAAAGATTTGGGGGGGGGGGGGAGGGGGGGGATGCTGGATTGTTGTGTATTAATGGAAAAGTCCACTGACTTCGCAGAATTGCAGTTAGAATAGGTGTTCTGTGGTTACACCCAGGGTCACACCTACGCCTTCACTGTAAATTAGCAAGCTGAGCTGGCCTGTCAGGGTGTAGGCAGGTTGTCAGGTGTGGTGGTGAGAAAAAAAAAAAAAAAAAACGTTCAAAGGACTTGCAATGAATTGCTATGGTACCTCTTTATTTAGTGCAACAAAAAGCTTACCGGTCAAAGTGTCTAAACATGAAGTGACAATGTGGGAAACGTGTGACCAGAATTTTTCTATTTGCAGCGTGGGCAAGGTCGTTCATGTGACACACGCTGCACACAGTGGTGTGTGACCACAATATGGTGGCTTGCGTTTGTGCACTGCAGTTGGCTGCCTATGTGTGCCTGTTGCATGCATGTGCCAAGTCTAAATGTGGCCCAGTCATTGCAGTGAAGGTAGTGTGGCTTTCTAGTATCAACTCCTTTTACCAATAAACATAGAGTAGAGGAAGGATGCCTAACAATATTAATATTGTTAATATTACGCATGATTTTTGGCGCACCTAACAAAAACAGCAGCCTTAAAGACCAACTTGTGCAGTACAAAGGCTTGTTGGCAGGCGACACAACGTGGTGTTTTTGCGACATTAAATCACAATTAAAAGACATAACAAATTCTGCTCGAATTGTGAGAAGAATGCTCAATGATGTCACTACGATTCACCGCCATTGCTCTTCTGCCATTTGCCGCAGTGGGGAAGTGGAAGTGGTACGTGGCTGCTGACCCTAAGGTCCTAAAATCGAATCCCTGTCGCGACGGCTGCGCTTGAGGCAAGCTGCAAGTTGAAAAAACCCTAGGTGGTTAAAATCTCCAGTGCCCTCCACTGAGACGTCTCAACACCATATCATGACTTTGTTGCATTAATCTTCAACAATTATTATTATTATTATTATTTCTTGTTCTGACAGTGTTCTGGGACACATTGTGACTGGTTGTCAGTCCCTTCATATGTCAGTAACAGAGCATAAGGCATTATAATATTGGACACAAAAAAACAAATACTAATAATAACCCTGCTGCCTCTACATTAAATTCAGTGTTATGTTTTTTGATGCACAATAATGAGCTTCAGTACACATGAAATGGTTGTTATTAAAATTAATCCTGACAAATGGCTCTATTACATAAAGAGAGAAACTCTGAAGTGCACTGTAGTCGTACACAACTTTAGAAGTTTAGGGCATTGCCTCTGCAAAGGCGAAGTACTAACAAGCATTCACTTGCGGGCGCGCACTCCAGAGTGGCATGTACATGAGCGGGACTATTTCTTTAGTCATGGAGGCGCTCGGTTGCCTTACTTTGATCACCTAGGCCCGGCCTTTTTGGAGTTAAATTGCATCCCACTATATGCAGAGTGCAAAGTAGCAGCAGTTTAACTGCTGTTATAGACAATTGTCATTTTGCACTATGTAATGTTTCTTCATTTTAACTTATTAATTTACACCACATTTGCCTAAATATGTAGAAACACTTGGCCTCAATAGCATCTGTATTTGGTCACTGCTAGATTTGTACATGCGGCTTGTCGCATTCTTTGGCTTGTGCAAATAATGTTGGTTTTCATCATTTAAGGACGATTCGTGGTACACATAATGACCAAGAATGGCATGTATTGAACTGGACGACACATTGAGTGCTAACAGACAGGGACATGAGAGGAACGTCCACACAATGCGCTTACTTGAACAATATTTATTTTCAGGAAACACCGACTAATATATCCATGCATGGTGGTGCCACCAGTAAATCCACTAGCCAAGCAGAAAAGCCCTCTCCTGATCTTGAAGGTCAACTGATGGTGTACTCACATACGTGTCACTATTACGAGGGCTTCAGTTATCTCTAAATCGTCTTTATGTTTCGCTAGTACAATGAAGGATTTGTACATAGGCGCGCAACTGCGTTCCAAGCAATGTACTGACAATGGCTATCATTATTCTTGTTTTTAACATTTAACTTTTGTTCACAAAGACAATCGTTATGGCACCTACCCATCTGACCTACACATTTATTAGCACTGGTCAGTGGAAGCTCATAAACCGCCTTTTTTACACAATCCGCAAAAAGGTCGTGATGTTTCTTGGAGCATCCGACAGCTGGCCTGCAATGCGGGTCCGTCAAGTGACTTATCCTGCCAAGCTTTTGCAATCCTGAGAATACTACTGTGATGTCCCCTCGTCTAGATATTTTCTTCAAATTATGAGCAGTTTTTCGCAGATAAGGCACTACTGCCACTCTGCTCCTACTTCCCGTCTGTTGGATGGTGCTTCCCAAGGGCCAAAATCCAAACGGCATCTTTTAAGCAGACCCTCGACAACCGAAACCAATACAAACTCTGAAAAACCTGCTGCGAATAACCTCTCAGACTGACTCATAAGATTTATGGATTTTATGGTGGCAATATTTCTGCACTGCATTTCCAAAACACAGATTGGGAATGCTTCTTCTAACTGGATTCGAGTGAGCAGATTAGTGTGGCAACAGGGGCTTATTAGCTCTAGGTTTGTATCCCTAACATGTGTGCTGTTGCATAAATTCAAGTTCAATGTCTAAAAACTGCAGCACGTTATCGGACGGCTCTTCCACTGTTATAATGAGTGGGCTAACGCAAGCAAGAAAAAATCATTTTTAGTCTGATACGTGTGCTTCCGGCTCGAACAGAACAAGGTAATCGTCCACGTATTTTACAACTTTCGCCACTCTGTTCTCTGACAAAACATGTGCCAGATTTCTGTTCTGGTGGGCCAAAAGAATTTTACTTAATACCAGCACCAAACAGGAGCTGATAAAGACACCCTGCTTCTTAAGGAACGTTTTTCCATTAGACATGGCAAATTTTGAGCAGAGATAGCAGCGAAACAAATCTAAAAAGCATTGAAGAGATAACTTGGCTGAGTTCTAAAACGCAACCGCTCCAACGTCGACAATACATTCTTCCACGCACATGATTAGTTCATTTTTGCACAAGGAATAATACAAGTCCTTTATGTCAAAGGAGTAGGTCAACAAGCATTTGTCTGGGTTACTGTTCAAGAAATCTACAATTTCCTCGGAAGGTTTAAAAAAAAAGGGTAGTCTATTTTAAGAATACCGAGCCTTTCTTGCCGTAAAAAAGGCTAGATTCTTCTGCCATGACCCTATTTCTGATACTATATTCAAAACGTAATTTCAAGGCTATCCTTCTTGGCTGCGTCAATATCATAGAACAATCTACTCAGGCACACCTTTCTAAAAAGAGGTTTTGTTTATAGTTTTATCTTCCAAAGGGACACATCGTGACACTCATTAAAAATATTGGCAACTGCAGAACAAGCTCTCTCGTTATAGTCACCTTCCTCTATCTAGAGCAACAAATCCGCCTCCTTATCTGCTGGCAGAACACACAGTCACTTCTGCTTCAAGAAACACACCACACGGCTTACAGGTGTACGTGAAGCATCGGGATTTTTTTGTGAGATCACATCTACCCATTCTGATATACACCGATTCGCTTCACCTTCCAGGGCACACTTTGATATTCGTCACTCAAAGCTCAAAAGTTCAGGCACACTCAACCTTGGCTCGACGGCAAATTTAGGTCCAGGTTTAAGAACATTTTCAACGTAGTCTGGTAGACTAACCTGGCCGGTGGTTCGGACGCTGCGTGTCGTTGGACCTGTCTTCTTTGGGATTCTGGCACATGAGTCTGGTAGAGTCTGCTGCCACATGAATTCCGTACTGCTGCTCATGATTGCTAGGAAGTTTCTCCACTTCCTGTTGGCGTTTCGTGTCTTTCCTGTATCTTCCAAAGTGGTTCTCAGGTGGTCCTTTAACATCCGAGCCTGCCTTTGCCACTGACTCCTAAAGACCTTGAGGACTCTGATGCCGTGCCTGGCAGAAGGGGCAAGTCCACCAAACAACCGCATGACTCCATCAGGTAGATGTTTGTAGCGAATGAAGAAGGAGAGCGAACAAGCAAATTTCTTATGATGAAGCAATTGCCGCTACTATTCTGTACCCTTTGCAAGTCAGACTGACGCTGTGCTGTGGTTGAAAACAAAAGTAAACAATGCCCAATGAGCACATTGATGATTGTCCACAATTAAGTATAAAAGCTATCGCTCTTGTATGGTTGTGTTGTCTAATAAAATTGCCAACAACAATAAAAATGCTTCACAGAAAATTTTACAGGGGTAAATCGTGCGAGGCCTCTGTACGTGCACTGTTAATAGTGAACTACAAGTAATCAAAAACAAATAACCTAAACTGTGTCACTATACTGTACTTTTGTTCCGAGTTGTAAAACATTTTATATGTTTTATGTATGCTTT